ACTAAAGGTGTAAAAAAAGACTGGTACCATCAAGACGATGAACTCCAATGAAGTTCTAACCATTAGAGTTACATAAATGGTAGAGTTACAGCTTGAAGATTGAAAAGGTAAGGAAACTATTGAAGTAATACCTTTGGATGACTATAAGTTTGTGATTGGGTTAGACTTTTTTATTCGAATTAATGCCCTCATTGTGCTTTTTACCAATTGTATTTACATTTTGGATGCATGGTGCCAATGCCTTGTACCATTGAGGCAAGGGTCCAAGATTGAGTCTAAGGTGGTGTCAGCCATTCAATTTACCAAGGTGGTGAGCAAGGATGAAGACGCCTTCTTGGCATCCCTGAAGTATGAAAAGCCAAGGGAAAATAAGACTGAGACACCCTTAGAGATGCTAAAGGTGCTAAAGTCTTTTAGCGATATGATGCCCGTAAAGCTGCTTAGCAACCTACCATCTAAAAAAAAAGTGGACCATAAGATCGAGCTAGTGCTCGAGGCCAAGCCACCAGCTAGAGCCCCTTATGAATGTCCCTACCAGGGTTGGAAAAGTTAAGGAAGTAGCTCAAAACGTTGATTGATGCTAGCTTCATTAGGTCATCAAATGCGCCATATGGTGCTCTGGTTCAATTTTAATGTAAGTATGATAGGTCATTGCAGTTGTGCATAGACTACTGGGCTTTGAACAATCTTATTATTAAGAACAAGTATCCTATCCCACTCATTGCAGATTTATTTGACTAACTTGAGAGTGCAAGGTGGTTCACCAAGCTGGATTTGAGATCGAGCTACTACCAAGCCAGGATCATAGAGGGGGATGAGCTCAAAATAACATGTGTCACTCGATATGATTTGTATGAGTTCTTGATCATGCCATTCGAACTCACGAATGCTCTAGCAACATTTTACACCATCATAAACAAGGTACTTCAGTACTTCAATCGTTTCTTGATCGTTTTGTTATGGTTTATCTGGATGACATCATGATTTACGACCAGATGTTGAAAGAGCATATAGACCACTTGAGGTAGGTGTTCAAGGTGTTACAGGTACACAAGCTGTATGTTAAGAGGGAGAAGTGCTTATTTACCCAATAAAAAATCCCGTTCTTAGGCCACATAATGGGAGGTGGCAAGATTCACATGGATGAACGTAAGGTATGTACCATCCTAAAGTGGGAACCACCAGCCAAGGTCACTGAGTTGAGGTCATTCCTTAGGCTGGTCAACTACTACAAGTGCTTCATCAAAGGTTATTCAGCCATAGCCACGCCATTAACTTACTTGTTCAAGAAAAGGAAAGTATATGAATGGAGCGTAGGGTGTCAGGAAGTCTTTGATCGATTGAAGTAGGTTGTGACTGAAGGAACCAATCTTGACCTTACCAGACCATGCCAAGCTATATAAGGTGCATATAGACGCATCGGACTACACAATAGAGGGTGTGTTGATGCAGAAGGAACATTCTATCGTGTTTGAGAGCAGGAAGCTCAATGAGACTAAGTACAAGTACACAATCCAAGATAAGGAGATGACTACAATGGTGCACTGCTTGTGCATTTAGTGCCATTACTTGTTGGGGTTAAGATTTATGGTCAGGATGGATAATATGGTGACTAGTTACTTTTAATCACAGAAGAAGTTATCCCCTAAGCAGGCGAGATGGTAAGATTTTCTTACGAAATTTGATTTTCAGATGGAGTACAAGCCAGGGCACACAAACATGGTGGCTAACGCCCTAAGCAAGAAGGTGAATCTTGCTACCATTAGCCAACCAGAAGGGTCTTTAGTGCCACGCATCAAGAAAGGGCTTACGCACGATCCTACAACCATGACTCTCATAAAGTATGCCTAGCAATGTAAGACTAGGTGATTTTAGTTGCAAGATGGTTTATTGTTCATCAGGGGCAGTAAGCTATTTGTGTCGCAGCATAGAAAGCTCTGCAAGGAAGTTATGCATGAGTGCCATGATTTTAAGGTACGTTAGACACCCAAAGATGAGCCGTACCTTAGCTTTGCTAGAGGACTGGTACTATTAGCCGCACATGAAAAAAGATGTAGAAGCCTATGTGAAGACTTGTCTGGTGTGCCAACAAGATAAGTTAGAGCTCAAGAAACCAGATGGTCTTTTGAAGCCATTGTCAGTGCTAGAGCAACCATGGAAAAACGTCATTCTGGACTTTATAGTTAATCTACCTAGGTCAAAAAGGTTTGGAAACATCATGGTAATGGTGGACAGGTTTTCCAAGTATGAGATTTTCATTCCAGTAACCAATGAATGCCCAACCAAGAAACTAGCCCAATTGTTCTTGAAGAATGTGGTGAAGTACTGGGGAGTGCTGAGGGCCATTATTAGTGATCGGGACAGGTGGTTCATGGGCAGGTTTTGGATTGAGTTGCTCAAGCTATTGGGGTCAGACTTGAAATTTTCCACTAGCATGCATCTGTAGACTGATGGGTAAACTGAGCGTGCGAATGGGCTATTGAAAGTCTACTTCAGGCACTATGTGAGTGCCACGCAAAGGGACTGGCCAAAGTTGTTAGATGTCACCCAATTTTCTTAAAACTTGCAAAGAAGAGAGGCAACGAACCAAAGTCCATTTGAGATTGTAACAGGTCAGTAGCCTTTGACATAAGGTTCGATTGATGAAGGTTATACAAGGTCGAATCCAACAGCATATAAGTTTGCCAAGGCTTGGCAGGAGCAAGCTGACTTGGCTAAAGTATGTTTACATAAGGCGACAAAGAGGTCGAAGAAATGGGCAGACCAGAATAGGCGGGATGTGTAGTTCCAAATAGAAGAGTTGGTGTTGGTGAAGCTGCATCCCATTGTATGTCACATGAGGCTGCACAAAAGCCTAGTCTGAAAGTATAAGGAACCTTTTCGAATAGTCAAAAGGGTAGGCAAGGTTGCTTATAAGCTGGATATGCCACCCAAGCTAAAGGTACACCCGATATTCCATGTTAGCATGCTCAAGCTGTTCCATGAGGATAAGAGAGATCCAGGACGAGCAGAGTCAAAGCGTACACCATGAGAGCTAGGGCTTCGTATGATAAGGAGGTTCATAGCATCATAGCTTATCAGGAAGCGAGGCAGAAGAACTACCAACCAAGATAGGAGTACTTAGTGCACTGGAAGGGACTTTTAGATAGTGAGGTGAGCTAGGAACCATCATGAGACTTATGGCAGTTTTGAGACCAATCAAGCAGTACCATGCAGAGGACACAACAAAGGCATTACGCAATCAGGTGGGGGAGAATGTCACGCCCTGGGCGGGCACGCCGGGCACATCAGGCGCACCAGCATTAGAACTAGAGGTTAAGGCTCGCACACCAGGAGCACTGACGGGGGTTTGTAGAGAAGTTCAGACAGCCCGCACAACATGCAAGCCAACCCGTACGGCCAAGGCCAGGCCCACATGATGGCCGCACCACATCCAGGAGGGCCCAAGAGAGGAAGTGCACAACAATATCCTCTAGAAGCACAAAGGATCAACATGAGTCTTTTGGTGGATTTGGTTGACCTTAAAAATCAGAAAGCAGAATCCTGTATTAATGTAATTTTGTGTAATCCTTAATTGATTGTAATTCCTTAATTCTAGAGATTTAACCATAAGTGTAGTCGGGAGCCTCAACTATAAATAGAGGGTTGCCCCACCCTCTTTTGTATATCATGATACACACCTTTGCTTTAGTAATATAGAGCATATTCCAATAACTTTCTTGTTCTTTTGTTTCTTTCAAACTTGTGCATTTTGTCTTTCCCTTTGTTCTAGTGCTCGCACGCTTATGTTTTAGGTTGACTTAGACTAGAAAGAAGTGATTCCAAATCTAAGATCGTATGGATTTTGAGTCTTAAGTCGAAACCTATAACACAAACACATAGATTGAACAAATTAATTAAAATGTAAACTACTAAAACATTTAAGATAAGACTGCACCTTGTTAATTTTTCAGACACATTAAACATTTTGTATAATGTTCTGCAGTCAGGAGCATGCATGTAGCAAGGATAAATGTCTTGCTTTTCCCTGAAGCTCCTCGTATTCATTGTCATTAGATTATATTAAAAACTATAAATGATCACCCCTTAAAACACGTTTTAAACGCTACAATATTGTTGTTAAAACGTAGGACAGCTGATATCTTGGAGAGCTTTTTTTTTTTTGTTTCATTTCTAAAATTCTCGGCCTGGGCTAGCTATAGCTAAATGGATTGGATGGCCGTTTACAATAAAACTAAGTACTAGCCTTTGAATTTTAAAGTTTGTACAGACCCTTTCAAATTAAGGACCACAAACCAGATAACAAAAGTCTGATCGACACAACACAACAGATCCTTGAAGTGAGCAAGAAGATTCAAAACGCTTTGAAATGAACGATTCTGGTTCATCAGCCAGAGCCAAAGGTGGCAAAACAAATGTAATAGAAAAACGTGCTCATAAATTGATGCCATGTTGTATTTGATATCTGAAGCAGTCTGACACGTAGGCCTTGAGGGTCTGGCTGGCTTGGAATATGCAGTTAATTTTGCAATAATGGACCCATTAGTTACAAGTGCTTAACGTAGTTTATCAAAACATTAGAATTCTATTTATTTATTCTTACTTGGACTTCTATTTATTTATTCTTACTTGGACAAAGATTACAACAACAATTTTGTCCTTGGAACCACTTCAACACTGCCATTATTATTTGAAAGTCTCTCTCTCTATATAGAAATATATTAATACAGCAGTAAAATTCTTGATTAATTCTGCCAAACCCAATCAAATTAGATATCAAATGTTGGTTTTGTGAAATGTCGTCCTAAGATGACACAGCTCTTTTTGGCTGGAGAGGAGGTTGCTTCTAATGACATATATAATAATATAAACCACATGATTATTCCTTTACTCCACAGGTTTCATTATTACACCAATATTATGTTCTAGCATTTTTGGGGCCGCTGCTGGACCTTACCTTTCGAATGCTTCTTCAACCTTTTGTAATTTCTACCCACTTTTATCTTTTGTGTTTGTGGGGACTATGCTTGATTCTTCAATATTCTTTTTATTCATGTCCATACATGGATGACACTTCACACATCCACCTTAATTATTGTATTGATATGAATAACATGATCCCCATAAGGAATTAAAGGGTAAATCTTAGTATAAAAGCAAGGGTGTTTGGGGCACACAGGGACAAGGTCAATCAAATACCACTCCGTTTTTTTTTTTGACTATGCAGATCTATTAGATAATGAATTAAAAAAAGAAAAGTAAAGAAAGCTTCCAATTGTTGTTAAGCTGCTTCCATTTTCACTGTTAAAGCAAGGCATGTCTATCCTGATTACCTGCCTCTGACAACTCCACTTCCTCTTCTTATTACCCAATCTCCCAACCCAGACACATGCAAACCCTACACAAATCCTTTCTTTTTGACAATGCAACATCCTGTTTTCTAGCCTCTCAATGTGCTTCCCTGTGGGGTTTACTCCTTCCTTCTTTATAAACACCCAAAGTCCTAAACTTTGCTATTTTTTCCTTGTTGCCTCTTACCAGCCGTGTCTCAACGAGGTTTGTTGTGATTCATTTGCTCTTCTTGCGTTTATTGGCATCTAATGCTCAAAGTTTTGATTTTTGATTGATCCTGTCAAATGGTGTCTGAAGTTCTTTTTTTTTTACGTTGGATATATGATATCTGGTTCAGTCTGTATGTTTCATTATGTGTGATGATTTGTCAAATGTAGGATATTTGTTGGAAATGTGATGCCTATTTCTATTTGATTTTGATATTTTTTTATTATTTGAAAAAGTTTTGGTAGGCGGTATACTTTGATTTAAAGAAAGCACTTTGCTTTCCTTTTAGCTGCTCTATGTTGTTGAAGGGTCTTTGGCTTCTTCTTTAGAAACTTGATTGTGGTTCAAGGTCTGTTTTTCTTATCACACTGTTGATCCTTATCTTTCTATATTTGCTTTCCCACTGCATTTGTTTACTGTTGTGAAATATGCGATATGCTAACGTGTACTGGACGTGGTTTTTTCAGACTTATTAGTCACTTTTCTCTTTTTATGCACATATATTCATTTTAGTATCTTATGTAATTAGAAGGGAGATTTGATTGGAATATTTACTGTCATAAATCAATTGATATTTTCAACAAATGCAAAATATTTAGCAGTTTTTGATTGTTAGATACAGATTGAGGTTTTAAGTTATTTTAGTTAAACATTTTTCAGGCATCTTGGTGTTGGTGAAAATGGCGTCTGATCTGAACAGAACTCTGTCAAAAACATATATCAGTCTGCAGTTGTGGGTACTTATTGTAATTGGCTTAGGAGTGGTTTTTTTAGTTATCCTTGGCATATCTTTGTGGCTTAGTTTTCGAAAGAAATCCAGAAGGCCTAATGGCATGCTTCCTGTAAGGCAAGCACTTTATGTTTCAGAGGAAATTAAAGAGATAAGAGTTGATCAAGTTTCAGCGAACAATGCTTGTCTGAACACTCTAAATAATAAATTCAGTGACAGAGATTCAGAGAAGGTTTTGTTTGATGTAGATAATGGAGATGATAGTGGTCAGTCAGGTTCCTTTAATCATTTGGAGAAGGATGTTAAAGGATCTCAGCCCAAAGAAGAGGGAGGCACTGAGTCAGTTTCCACATACAGGCCTTCTTCACATCCATTGACTGCTTCTTCACCTTTGTCTGGCCTGCCTGAATTTTCGCAGCTGGGTTGGGGTCATTGGTTCACTCTGAGAGACCTACACCTTGCAACTAACTGGTTTTCAAAGGATAATATTATTGGTGATGGTGGATATGGAGTTGTTTATAGAGGCTTTCTGATTAATGGGACCCCTGTAGCTGTCAAAAAGCTCCTTAACAATCCGTATGTTGCAGAGAAGCTTATTTCTGTGGAAGATTAATCCTTTTATTCGTGTTATGCTGTCCATAGCTTGTAAGGTTAGCTGATAATGATTCTATGTTTTTTTAGGGGACAAGCTGATAAGGATTTCAGGGTAGAAGTTGAAGCCATTGGTCATGTGCGGCATAAACACTTAGTTCGACTTCTTGGGTACTGCATCGAGGGCACACAGAGGTACAATGTTGTTTATTGTTCTCCATATAATTTGGAAAGTTGAGGGGGCTGCTTGTGACTTTGTCCCTGTATGAAAGTTATAGTTGATGAATTGTTAATCTGTAGGTGTTAGTGTTCATATAATCTGTGGCATGAAAAGGAAAGAGATATTTACTGATTTTTTTTTTTAATTTTCTGCCATAAAATCCAGGTTGTTGGTTTATGAATATGTCAACAATGGCAATTTGGAGCAATGGCTCCGGGGAGATATGTGTCACAAGGGATATCTTACTTGGGAGGCTCGCATAAAAATTCTTCTTGGCACTGCCAAGGCGTAAGTCTGCCTTTAACTAACTCTTGCTTGTTAACGCTTACCTTGGCTTTAATCTCATTTGTTACTCAAAACTAAATGTTGCAGGTTGGCTTATTTGCATGAGGCTATTGAACCAAAAGTTGTGCATAGAGACATAAAATCAAGTAATATACTGATTGATGACAACTTTGATGCTAAGATATCTGATTTTGGTTTGGCCAAATTGCTAGGTGATGGTAAAAGTTATATCACAACCAGAGTTATGGGTACATTTGGGTGAGAATAATGCCCTTCCTTTACAATCAACTGCCTTGACTTTTTCAACTTTCACTAGTTCATTCATACTCCTTTTAGCTTTAGCGTTGTTTTTTCACTTTTTTTTTTTTTTTACTCTTAAGGAATGAGGAGTTGTATTATTCAAGAAGCTAGAAATATCATTGGTTAATATTCTCGTTTTCTCCTGTTTGCATGGTTTTCCAGTTATGTTGCTCCAGAATATGCCAACTCTGGCCTCCTGAATGAGAAGAGTGATGTTTATAGCTTTGGCATTGTGCTCTTAGAAGCAATTACTGGAAGATACCCAGTAGATTATGGTCGCCCTCAGCCTGAGGTACTGAAGAACACTTCTTTATCAGCATAGGTTGTAAAAAGGCTTTTATGTCCTGTGCTTATCCTGAGTTATTTGTTTTAAATGCTTTATCATTCATGTGCTTATACCATACAGATGTTTGCTTTTTAAGTCTTTAATTCCTATGTACCTGAACTATATAGGCTTAGAATTACTCTGAAGCCCGTTGCAGCCTTGATTATTTCAGGATGTTAATTTTATGTCTCGTGCTTTTGTTTATTTGTTCTTCCTACCCAACAACTAAGGACATAGCACACTTGACATAAAGTTCTTTTGACATGCCCTGTTGTATTGTGAGTTCTCAGGTAAATATGGTTGAGTGGCTAAAGATGATGGTGCAACTTAGACGCTCGGAGGAAGTAGTTGATGCTCACATTGAGACTAGACCATCAACTAGTTCTCTTAAACGAGCTCTTTTGACTGCTTTGAGATGCGTTGATTCTGATGCTGATAAAAGACCAAAGATGAGTCAGGTTGTTCGCATGCTTGAATCAGAGGAGTATCCTTTTCCTCGAGAGGTTGGATTCTGATGCTTTTCAATTATCAGTTAATCAAAATTGCTTTGTGTTGTTACTTAAAATATATGTCAAAGAAAACTTTTGGAAGTTGCATTATATTTCTGACAAAAAGCTGATAATAGTGAATGCTGGAAGTAGCAGGCTAGAGGATAGCAACTTCTTGCTTTTAGATAAATTGTCTGATGGGAGAATGTCCAGTTTAAAGTTGTAATGTATCCTGGCCAAAATTTTCAGGATAGAAGACGCAGAAGGAATCCGGAAGTGAATTCAGATGCTGAAAAGAGTGATGATCCAGATTCAAGATTGGACAGTAGAATGCGGCATCACTCCTAGACTGGGGAGCAAAATGGTTTTAGAAGCTGAGAACAAGGGCAACCATCATCCTTACATTTGTTAATATTCTGATGCCTTGGAATGGCCTATAGTTGAGATCGAACATGTACAGCAGATGCAGGCAAGGCAACTGAGGGAATCGTTTTTTTTTTTTTTTTGGAGCTTTGAATTACATGTCCACTTCTAGATTCTAGAGAAGATTTGTTTTGAGTTTGGAAAGGGCACCATTGCTTCTAGATTCTCTGTGCAGGTCTATATGGATTCTAAATCATTTTTCCCCGTTATTTGGATTATGTCTTATAGTTCACTTTTATGAAATTTTGTAGCTCGGATCAGAAAATGAAAAGAAAAATACTATTGATGTGAGTCTAGTGACAGAACGTACTCTACGCATGCTGAAAAACAAAGCAGGTACAACCATATTTCTGCTGAGGTAGCAATAATTCAAGCTGAAAATTAAGACCATGGTGCTGGCTGCGCCTGTGGGTCCATGTGCTGGAGTGGGTTTGCGCCTCCCATGTGCAGATGATCATTCAAAAATCTGTTGCTTGGATGGGAATCGCAGACGTAAAACCTTTTTTTATGGTCCCAAGTTTTTGTTTGTGGTCAATCTACAGACTTGAACAGAGGCAGAGTTACACCTAGACAATTTTGTTCCGTTGGCGAAGGGACAATAACAGAAATGTATTGTATGTGAAATTGCAGGTGGAAGAGTAGCTTAACAACAGGCAGGTGGTAATGTGGATTTGGATATAATTGTTATTTGCAGGGAAGGGGCAACGATAAGTGCGTGCAATCTAACACAAGATAAAGCAAGCAAAAGGATTGAAAACAACAGATTACGGTTAGTAAGGCAATCCTCCACCACGTCCGGTGCTACACCAGGATCAGGATGCCTCTTATCAATCCCCTCTGTTCTCAGAGTTTAGATGAGATCCTTGTCTCCTCTTTCTCTTCACTTCCGTCTTTTGAACTCAATTATTATAATAATTATTATTACTACAAACAGAGTCACATTTTGCAAACCTTTGAAAAACGAACTTTATTTGGCAGATTAAATATTTAAATTTGTGGGATTTTGCCCAATGAAGAAGTCTATACATACATATATACATGATTGGGATTGAAGATGGTAGATGAAAGATGATCTAAAACACTCGTTTACAATACAAATCACAGTGACCGGATTTCCACTTCAACTAGTCTCCAATTTGTTACAGTAATATAGCCAATAGGGATCATCTTCAGCCTCATGGATGAATTCACGAATGTTGCGTTTCACTGTGGGTGTGGTAAGAAGCTGGCCGAGTAGTATTCAAAAGAGGCTGAAGAGCTTTCACTACAATGCTGATATTAGGTCGAAAATCAGCTTCATATTGCACGCACGAGGCAGCAACAGCAGCAAGCTGTTTCCAACAAACAACTATCAACAAGGCAAATACTCGGAAGCGAAGCACCATCAACTCGGGAAGCCTGATGCCTTTCGGGTCCTATTGTTTTCTAATTCAGCAAAATGCAAACCAACTTGGGAAATGCAAATGACAGAAATAACGTTGCTTTGGGAAATGTAAACCAACTTGACAAGGTTAAAGCTCCCAAGTCCCAAGATAGATATCACCTCCATGAAATTCAATCACAACAATATAGAAGCAATAGACAACAATCAATAATCAAATGCGCAGGAAAAATAAAGCACACCAAGATTTACGTGAAAAACCCTCCAGTGTAGAGGGAAAAACCACGGGCCACCAGAAAAATCTTCACTATCAAATAATAGTTATACAAAGTTCTTCTCTAGCTAAAACTAGAGCTAATCAACAACTAGAGAAACAATTGGAGAAATCTCACCAAATAAGTGACTCAACAAATACACCATAGATTTGTTCCTAGAGAGCTTCAAACCCGATCTTCACCATTCAGAATATATAACTCTGAATCATAAACCTCCTGACAAGGTTCCAACTCAATCGGACCACGGATCGACTTTCGCTTAACCAACTCTCCCTTCTCCTTTTTCTCTCTCTGTTTTTCCTGGCTTTTCTTCTTTCTCTGCTTGGTTGTCGACACACACCTTAAACAACCCCACCTCTTTTTTATTAAGTAGCTAGGGCTCTGTGTAAAATAAAAGATCAAGGCCCATGGCCTTCACTTGGTCCAAAACCACTTACATGGGACTGGACCCCATTTTCCTAACAATCTCCCCCTCCAGTCCCATTAGAAGGAGATTCATCACCATAGCAATTTCATTTGGAACTTACCTTGGCCAGGGAACTCATTCCGGCCAAGTTACTGCAAAGCTCAAGCTTTTCCCTGGGAAGTATCTTAGTCAACATATCTGCCACATTTTTATCAGTATGGACTTTCTTCAATAGTATTTGCTGTTCTTCAATCACTGAACGTAACCAATGATATCTAACATCAATGTGCTTTGTTCTAGCATGGTACATGGTATTCTTACTCAAATCTAAAGCACTCTGGCTATCACAAAATATCACATACTCTTTCTGATTCAACCCCAATTCAAAAAGAAAACGTTTCATCCAAAGCATTTCTTTACATGCTTCAGTTGCTGCAATATACTTAGCTTCTATAGTTGACAAAGCAATACACTTCTGTAACTTAGACTGCCAAGATACAGCTCCTCCTGCAAAAGTGAACAAATACCCTGAAGTAGATTTCCTACCATCAAGATCGCCTGCCATGTCAGCATCAGTAAACCCTTCTAGAATTGGTTGTGAAACTCCATAAGTCAAACACATTTTTGAGGTACCCCTCAAATATCTAAAAATCCATTTTACTGCTTCCCAGTGAACCTTCCCTGGATTAGAAAGAAATCTGCTCACTACACCAACTGCATGAGCAATGTCAGGCCTTGTACAAACCATAAGATACATTAAAGAACCGACTGCAGAAAAATAAGGAATACTAGACATAGCTAGTTGCTTTTCCTTAGACACTGGACAAGATTTCTTACTTAGATGAAAATTGTTGGCAAGTGAACTGCTAACTGATTTAGCATGTTGCATGTTGAATCTACCAAGCACTCGTTCAACATACTTTTCCTGTGATAACCACAGCTTTCCAGCTCTCCTATCTCGAATAATGTCCATACCAAGAATCTGCTTTGCTGGACCTAAATCTTTCATATCAAAGGACTTAGACAATTGTTCTTTCAACCTGCAAACCATACTAGCATCTTGTCCTACAATCAACATATCATCAACATATAATAATAGGATAATGAAGTTACCATTAGGGAATTGTTTAATATACACATAAGAATCCGCTACTGTTCTTTTATAGCTATGACTCACCATAAAAGAATCAAACTTCTTGTACCACTGTCGCGGAGCTTGTTTCAAGCCATACAAGCTTTTCTTCAATTTGCAAACTAAGTGCTCTTTCCCTTTCACTTCAAAACCCTCAGGCTGATTCATATAAATGTCCTCCTGCAAATCACCATGCAAAAATACAGTTTTAACATCAAATTGCTCAAGCTCAAGATTCAAACTAGCTGCCAATCCCAGTACCACTCGAATAGAACTCATTTTTATAACTGGAGCAAAAATCTCATCAAAATCGATGCCTGGTTTCTGAGAAAAACCTTTTACTACCAATCGAGCTTTGTACCTCACTATTTTGTCACCATCCTTTTTCAACTTGAACACCCATTTATTCTTTAATGGCCTTTTCCCTGTTGGAAGTTTAACAAGATCATAAGTACCATTCTTTCGCAATGACTCCATCTCTTCTTTTATTGCTTTTAACCAGTACTCTCTATCCGGAGTAGCCTGCACATCTTGAAAGCTTTCTGGCTCCCCTTCACTGGTAACTAAAATAAAATCTAAACTTGGATACTTGGTAGATGGCCTGCGCTCTCTAGTAGATCTCCTGAGCTGAGACTCTACATCACTTGATGCCGAAGGTAGCTCCCCCTGCTCAACACTCTCAGGTAGAGAGGATTGCTCCCCTTGCTCAAAACTAATAGCATCTGGCTCATCACCAACTATGGCTGGCTCATTCATATCCCCAAGTTCTGTTTCTGGCTCATTTTCACCATCTGTGGCTCTTTCTTGTGAAATCCCTGTCGATGTTGAAACATCACATTCAATAGTAACTCGTGTAGTCTTCTCATTTTTCTTAAGGTCTGCTATGGTTTCTTTTTCATGAAAGACCACATCTCTGTTTCTGACTGTCTTTCTCTTTACTGGATCCCATACCCTGTAGCCAAATTCCTCATCACCATATCCTACAAACACACACTGTGTAGCTTTACTATCAAGCTTTGATCTCTGCTCTTTTGGTACATGCATGAATGCTTTACACCCAAAAACTTTCAAGTGAGAGTATGAAGCATCTTTCCCTGTCCACACTCTTTCTGGAATGTCAAAGCCCAAAGAAACTGATGATGACCTGTTAAGTAAATAACAAGCTGTGTTGACTGCTTCACCCCAGAATGGCTTTGGTAATTTTGCCATCCTCAACATACATCTGACTTTTTCCACAATGGTGCGATTCATTCTTTCAGTTATACCATTATGCTGTGGTGTTCCAGGTTCTGTCCTCTCATGCCCGATCCCATGCTTTGAGCAATACTCTTCAAAGCCTTTAGATGTGTATTCCCCATCATTATCAGTTCGAATACACTTCAAGGGTAACCCTGTCATCCTTTCAACCATGACATGAAATTTTTAAAAATATTGCAGTACCTGACTTTTGTATTTCAACATATACACCCAAGTCTTACGTGAAGCATCATCAATAAAAGTAACAAAATATCTGCTACCACCTAATGACTCAACCTCAATGGGACCACATACGTCAGAATAAATTAATTCCAATCTATTTTTTTTCTCTGAGAACTTTTACGAAAAGAAACTCTATGATGCTTACCAAACAAATAATAATCACATGAATCGAAAGACATACCTTTGGTCAAGGGAATGAGAGAGTGCCTTGCCAAAACCTGTAACCCTTTTTCACTCATGTGTGCCAGCCTCCTGTGCCACAAGTTTGCTGAAGCATCATTTTCAACGGTATTTACCTAGTTACCGTTCAATTGCATCCATGTCTTATACATTGTGCAGCATAGTTTTCTCCTTGCAACTATCATAGATCCTTTGAGAAGCTTCCACTGTCCATTCTTTTGTCGGCTTTCATATCCCTCCTTATCAAGGACATTAATAGCAAGCAAGTTCATTCTCATATCTGGAATGTGTCTGACATCCCTCAAAGTCAACATGCAGCCTGTACTAGTTTGTACAACAATATCACCAATCCCAACAATCTACGACACACTCTTGTTTCTCATCTTGGTACAACCAAAGTCTCCTGGTTTGTAAGTTGTAAACAACTCTCTCTTAGGAACACAATGATATGTCGCTCCTGTGTCAACTATCCACTCAATGCCGGGATCACTAACATGATTACAATCACCATGTGTACAAATCAAAGTAACTGAATCACTATCTGAATTCACTGCTGCAACATTGCCATCATCTGAACTCTTCCCTTTCTCATCTTTTCGCTCTTGCTTCAAGATTCTACAGTTTCGTTTTATATGACCCGCCTTACCACAATGGAAACACTTCACTTTACCTCTAGACTTGGATCTATGTTTAGACTTACCACGGCCTTTTGAGTCCTGACCTCTGTCGATGTTTCTACCTCTGTTCTTTGTGACCAGAGCTTGATTCCCAGGGTCTACATCTTTTCGCCTCGCTTCTTCATTAAGCATACTGTCCTTTACCATCTCCAATGTCACCTTATAATCAGGAGCTGAATTAAGAACAGTCACAACTAGAGTATTCCAGCTGTCTGGCAATGAACCCAAAAGAAATAATGCCTTCATTTCATCATCCATCTTAAGTTCTATAGTAGTCATCCGATTAAATATATCTTGAAAATCACTCAAGTGCTCTGTAACAGATCGTCTATCCCTGTACTGTAAAGTTACAATCTTTTTAACAAGCATAACTTTATTCATACCTATTTTTCTCTCGTACAATGCTGTCAATTTTTCCCAAACAATGTGAGCATCTGATTCTTGCGCTACATGATGAAACACGCTGATATCAACCCATTTTCTGATTGTAGCCAGCGTCTTTCTACCTAGCTTCTTCCAGCTTTCATCTTTCATATTTGCTGGTTTAGCCGAATCACCCAATACTGGCTCATACAAATCTTTGCAGTATAGATGATCCTCCATCATAGGCTTCCAAATTGAATAATTTGATGCTGTCAATTTTATCATGGAACCTGTATCACCCTCCATGATCTCAAACAGAATTTACTTCTATCCTGGGTTGCTTCTGTATCGATGTCTCAAAATAACTCTCGCTCTGATACCACTTGTTGCGCCTGAAGCAATAATCACAACAATACAGAAGCAATAGACAACAATCAATAATCAAATGCGCAGGAAAAATAAAGTACACCAAGATTTACGTGGAAAACCCTCCAGTGTAGAGGGAAAAACCACGGGCCACCAGAAAAATCTTCACTATCAAATAATAGTTATACAAAGTTCTTCTCTAGCTAAAACTAGAGCTAATCAACAACTAGAGAAATAATTGGAGAAATCTCACCAAATAAGTGACTCAACAAATACACCATAGATTTGTTCCTAGAGAGCTTCAAACCCGATCTTCACCGTTCAGAATATATAACTCTGAATCATAAACCTCCTGACAATGTTCCAACTCAATCGGACCACGGATCGACTTCCGTTTAACCAACTCTCCCTTCTCCTTTTTCTCTCTCTGCTTTTCCTGACTTTTCTTCTTTCTCTGCTTGGTTGTCGACACACACCTTAAACAACCCCACCTCTTTTTTATTAAGTAGCTAGGGTTCTGTGTAAAATAAAAGATCAAGGCCCATGGCCTTTACTTGATCCAAAACCACTTACATGGGACTGGACCCCATTTTCCTAACAGCATCAACACACAGCTTCATCACGTAGTTTTGGAGTTGCCTAATGCCGTCCAGAATGCAAATAGGATAATTAGGATCAGTTACTAGTCTGAAGATAAGATGAATATGAATTATAAAGTAGCAGTACCCATATCACAAGACTCTGCTGCTCACGTGGCAGTGTGAGATCAACAGGTTTACGTCCAGTTAAGAGCTCCAGAAGGATGATACCAAAGCTGTAGACATCACTCTTAGACCTAAGCGTTCCAGTCATTGCAAATCTGCCATTCAAAATCACAAATAGAAATTAGATCAGTGTCCGACTGTCGTGTATGTGGTTGGTTTATATTTAGACAAAGAGCAACTAAAAGAGATCAGAGGACATGTATATATATACCAAAGTTGAAATGAAAGTTTTAACTTCCTATTGATTTTTTCTTTCTAGCTATGTTCTTTGCAGCTATACGATTAAACTGATCCATTACTCTTATTTAGCAAGAAGTAAACTGATTAACGAGATGATCTGGATGGATGCACTGGCCGTTCTTAGGTGGTAAGAACCAAATGCTGCCTTATTTATGGTCACTAACTTGAAAAAGTTTGAAGAGTCAAGGAGCAACTTACTCTGGAGCATGATAACCAAAGGTTCCAAGAACCCGTGTAGAATTCAGACGAGTTGTCGTATCAGGGCCTTGATTTGACAAATCAAAATCAGCAATCTTAGCAACATTATCTTCAAAAAGAAGTAAATTGGTGGACTTAACGCCACGGTGGATTATAGGAGGCTGTGCCTTTTCGTGCAAATATTCAAGGCCTTTTGCTGCTCCAACAGCAATTTTGACTCTCTCTGGCCAAGATAAAACAGAACCTGGCTGTGCTCCTTTCACATCTTTCTTTCCTATATATGTTCACAAATTGCATAATTGTATTACTCCACCGTAGAACCAAGGATAGTTAACTCGTTATTGATAAAACTGAAAAGAAATCAAGCCTTCTTTTGTCATAGAAACACTACTCTAAATCTACTCAAATGTCAATGCATACAGTCCATAATGTTCAGTAGTCACTCTAAGCAGAAGAGAACCTCCGATGTCATCTGCTAAATCAATTGCAACACATTAGGCATTTTGGCTTCTCTACATATAAAATTTTCAAACACTTGATTCATGCAATAAAATCACTATACGTACGTTCCTGCATATAAATCTTTGTGATGCCAGAAAAAATGAAACAGATTAAATTAAGCACTCAGTCAAAGCTATAATTAATGGATGAATATAGGTCAATCTAGATAAGAGTCCTAACTATACAGGAGCAGGGTAACTGATACAAAGTTACTTACCATGAAGCATGGCATGGAGAGATCCATACAGGCATATTCATAGGCCAGGACACGAAGAGAGCCACCAATACAGTAACCAACAAGATCAACAACGTCATCATGTTTTAATTTTGACACCATGAAGACCTTTCAAGTTATGTGATTTGAGAAAGGAAGTTGCACATTCTGTGATACTTGTCAGTGTTTTATACAATGAAATTTTGTTAGGCCCAACCTGCGCTAGGAATTCTTGGTCTGGCTGCTTACTGGAGTCCAACTTTTTGATTGGCTGCAGCCTTCCCACTCTTTAGAATGCCATAATATACTCTTCCGTAAAAGCCCTCACCAATTAATGATTTTGTACCAAAATCATCAGTCATTTACTTTAGCTCATCCACTGGGATGGCAGGGATGGCAATAGGTTGAAAAGTATTAACAGGCTGTGTATCCCTGCTTGTTACAGCTGCTCTTGCTTGATATCCTCCGGTATTTGCTACATGAGCACCTGCTTAATTAGTTTCATGCTAACCAACAGGATGTTAATCATGCTATTAAATTTAAAGGAGGAAAAACATGAAAAAAAAAAAAAAAGGCGTATTTGAGACAAAGATGCTAGTTAAGCGTGAAACTTTAGGAGTAAGACGACCTAACACAAAATTAAAAAGAGATAGAAAGAGAACTTGAGAATGTAAAAGGGTTATTTGCCATGAAGGGCCCATTTTCAGAAGCTTTATGGATATCATCTTCTTCACAACAGCTGAAGCAACGCATGTTGTTTCTCCTGGCAATCTCATTCAATGCGTAAGAAAAAATGAGACTTGAGATTGCACATTTAATATGATTCCCTTAAAATAAAATTAAATCGCACCAAAAAAATAGCAGTATAAATTCCAAATGGCTAGAGTGCTATACTATTAGCTAAAGGAATTCTTGAAAAAGAAAAAATAATGTAGTGAAAATATCATAAGTAATGAAATAAAGGCAGAGGAGGATGAAACATATGAGCATTTTACAGATTATGTATATTAAATACCAATGGTGGTCTGGTCTGGCAAGCAAATTCAGCATCCACTGCAAATGTTGATCTCTCAGGATTTGGTATGGTTTGAGTTGCAACTACCCTTGCCTACTTTCTCTTTATCAATAGCCTTACCAATGCTAACCAATGCATTCATAATCAGATATAAAATGGCACTTAATATTCTCAGACGAATCTCCAGAAGAAAGAAACAGGGAAGGGATTCTCATGCATTACCAAATTTTCATCCAGTTGTCCACAATTTTAATTAAAATGAATGAACTCTTCCCAAATATTTGCTATGATGGGTGGTTTTTCCGTTAAAGTAACTCCTTTTATGAAAGGGTGAATGTGATTGTATACGATAAACGAACATATCAATAGTATATTTGTTGATAGTTTAAAATGTGATACATCTTATATAAGATAGAAAATTTTAATTATTGATGAATAAAATTAATTTTTTATATTAATTTTATTTATATTTTAAATAATTATATTTTAAAAAAATAATTATTATATGACAAATGATCATAATTATTTGAATATAAATAAATTATTATTCATAAATATCATTATTATATAAAAAAGAATAATCATTTGAACAAAAATCTATGTTTGTTCATTTATTATAAACATATCTTTCAGCATAATCATTTTTACTACTTCTGCTTTGAGAGTTTTGAGTTTTTATTATATCATAGAGTTTTGAGGTTTTATTATTCATGCTTCAAAACCAAAATTGATTTTTGAAATAAGCATGGAAAACTTTAATCAGTTAGAATAGTTTCTTGGTAAAATAAAATATAAGATAAGTTTCTTATTTTTTTTTCTAGTTTTTATATTCTACTAAAAGAATTGATGATTAATAATTCATAAAAGACATTGAGTCTCATTGAATTTTGCTTTATTTATTGACTATTCTTTTAATCTTTTGATTTGAATTAAATTATTTAATTTATGATTCATGATTTTATGATATGTTATATATGAATTTTCTTGATTATAGTATTGAATAGTCATGAGCATAAAATAGAAATGGAGTACTTACTAGTTTTGATTATAAATCTTTTATAGTCTTGTTATATTTTGCTAAGACCATAATTATCAAATCAAAATGATAAAATTTTTCAAGAATTATTTTAAGGCATAAAAGAAATTGTGAATTTATAAATCTTTTCATGAAAAAAAAAAAAAGCAAGTATATATGTTCTTATCATAAAATCATATTATGGTCCATATTCCACGAGTGCATTTTATTGACAAGAGAATAATGTATGATTCATATTATTTGATTTATATAATATTATTTCGATAAGAAATAAACATATTATTTAAGATAACTTTAATTCAATAGAGAAATTATATGAATTTTAATAATTAGTTAAAATGCTTTCTATTTGTTGGGTGAAAAAATTTTATGTATTTTATAATTTGGACACAAAATTTATAGTATTGTATGGTTATATGTGAAATTTTAACTGTTCACGATCAAATAATTTTTAAATATCCAAGAGTTAGAATGAAAGTCTCAAAAGGAAACTATAGAAAGTATGAGTTTACTAATTTTAAGAGTGATTATATTTGGCATCATATTTATTAATGCATACTCTTACATTGAGTTAAAATAGTTTTTATGAAAAAAAATATTAAGATATAAAATATTTACTAGCTATCTTTCACTAAAGGTGGATTTGGAGGCCTTTTATTTAAACAAAAACAACAACCAAATAATGAAAAAAAAAAATGACAACTTGATTAAGTATATATGATATATTGATAAATGAATTGGACATTCTTTAATAAAATAATACAATTTTGCATATGGTTGGGGTGAAAAAATAAAAAAAAATAAAAATTACCACCATAGTATTGTAAGATTTTAGTATAATTTTTGAGCAAATTATACAAGCTAATAATAAGCTTAGTACAACTTATTAAAGTAAAATCATAAAAAGTTTTTAAATATCTAAAAAAGACTAAAATAGCTTGATTTATTCATTAAGTTTATCCAATTGTATTAAAAGAATAATTGTACTAAAATAGATAAAAATGTAAAAATAGAATGGTTGAAAATTTATATTAATGAGTATAGAATTTTTGCCACAACCAATACCATCTATTTCTTAAAATGACAAGAACGAAACAACAATATCTAAAACATATAAAAGATATGCAAAATGAAAAATTTAGACATACTACTTTGAATTGATTATATTATAAATTTAATTTTAAGAGGAGGTAATTATCATAAAAAAAAATGAATTTTAAGATATTTGATTAGTACCACTACAAGTAAAATGAATTTAAACATTTATTATTAGGCACCAATAATGGGAACCCAACTTTGAATTATTAACCTTTAATTACAAAGTTTAATGGGTAAAAATAAGTTATTGTTACGTGTCTATTAAGTACTAATAAAATTCATTCAAATTTGAAAAACTAGTATGATCTATTGCGTAAAAATGATATGTTTTTTATACTCTTAATGGAGTTTATTATTTAAATGTTTAAAAAATAGAGACATAATAGAAACTCTACCTATATAAATATAGAAGTGGTGTCGCTTTAACAAGAAGATTTGAGGTCATTCTTATAAATATTTATGAATAGGATAAGCGTATGGTAATAATAATGCTAAAGAGGTAATAAACTTTTGACAAAATAATAAATAACTATTATATGTGTTATATCTTCAATTCTAACACTAAAAGTTAAGGTTTAATTGTGAACATTATTAACTTCATTAGAATTCTAAAGCATATACATTAATTGAATGTTTAAATCAAGAAATACTTATTTGTATGAAATGTTAAAAAATTAAGCACTCACATTTCAAACTAATGAAAGATTGTTGATAATTTAGAATGTGATGCATCACATATTAGATAAAAAATTTTAATTATTGATGAATAAAATTAAATTTTTGTATTAATTTTATTTATATTTTAAATAATTATGTTTGAAGAGAAATAATTATCATATGACAAATGGTCATAACTATTTAAATATAAATAAATTATTATTTATAAAAATTATAATTATACAAAATATGATAACCATTTGAATAAAATTTTATATTTGTTCATCCATTATAAAATAGATATTTCAATATAATTATATTTACTAATTCTATTTGAAGAGTTTTAAGATTTTATTATATCTTAGAGGTACAATTGCTTTTACGATAGTATTTTTCATGTGTTGAAACCAAAATTTTTTGTTATTATTTCTATTATCTTTTTTTTTTCTAACAATATTTTCAGAAACACAAGTCCATTACAAGAAAAATATCGTGACCATGATTTAATGATCAATCAATAAAATTTATATAAAATGACAAAAACTTGTTTAATAACATGACCCTCTTGCTCTCATCAAGCATCAAATTTATATGGTATATATCACAATTTTTTTTATTCCTCTAAACAGCAAATAGGAGAGAAGGGAGAAAATTGATAAAATATATAAACAAACATAACTAAAAGAACTAAAGAAACAAAAAGTCAGTTTGAGAAAGAAGAATTAAACACAAAAAAGAAAAGGAAAAAGAAAAAGAAGTCCCTCTATTAGTATTGGTATAGCTGTATAGGTAATAAAACTTGAAAGTCAGCCTGAGCCACTGCGTCTAGTATGTGTGTTGTGAGCGTTGGTCTTAGTTTGCGACTTAAAACGGAGTTTAGATTAGATTTATTGAACCTGTATATATTTATTTTTTGTTCATTAACAAATAAATATACTAGTGAATTATTACTGATCCAGTATATTATTATTTATTTTGTGGAAAAGAGAGAGAGGATGAAGAAGGCTGTTATGGTACAGAGAGGCGCAGGAGGAGTGGATATACAGTTATAAGATAATAACAGTAAGAAAGAAAAACAAATGCAAGCACTTGGTCTTGTCAAGTGAGTGATGCGAAACTTGACGCGAGGGCCGTTGGTCGAGACAGTGGCTGTTGGTCTGTCCTTGTCTACTTGCCGTGACTTTTGTAACTCTCTCTCTCTCTTTCTGTTCTTTGACTTTCAATTCTGGGTTTTATATTATTATTATTAATACAAAATACTACTACTACCATAGTCATCATCAATCATCATGTTCGTATATGATATCTGATATATGATATATGATATATGATATGATATGAATGAATATAGTAGAACTAGCACAACTTCGAGCGATTTGATTGAAAAAAAAGTGAAAGGTACAAGGATACCGACTCAACCCAACCTCTATCTTACAAAACATAACATCGTGATTCATGACCAACCCCGATCACACCCTTTCGATTTTGATAACAAAAATCTAGGTAAAATCAAACGGCTTTCCTTTATTTACCCCTTGATCTGGATGGATAATGGATACACTACAAAAAAAGGCAAGATTTTATTCACTTTTCTGATTTTGCGACTCAGGACTCAGAGTGGGAGACCCTCATATTCTTTTTTTTTTTTTTTCTTTTTGAAAAGCTAGTTGTAGTAATATTTATGATTGTAAACGAATTGAATATAAACGAATAAATATATATTTGTATTTTTTTTTATTTTTAAATATATTCATATTTGATTATGTTTGTTAAAAAATTATTTTATTTATTTATATTTTATTCATTTAAATAATAAATTATTTATATTTTATTTGTATTTATTTAATTAAGTTAAACGAATTCATTCATAAAAATTTAATAAACATATTTATGAACATATATAAATAAATACATTCATGAACAATAAATAAATTATAATCAGATAAATTTAAACAAATAAATTTTAAATGAACATAAACTAACTCAAACAAATATAAACAAAATTTAAAATAAAATTAAGATAAAAGATAAAATATAATTTTATTAATATTATTATAAACAAATAATAAATAAATAAAATTTAAATAAATTATAAATGAATTTATTAATAAATATAAATAAATAAACAATTATTTATATTTATATTCGATTCGTTTAATAAATAAATATATAAATAATATTTATGATAATTTATTAAATTTAATAAATAAATAAAAATAAAATATGTTCATAAATAATTTATCGAAACCTCATTTGCTTACACTTCAATCAATGTTTGAGTTTAATCATCTTTAGTTATGTACTGAAACTTAACTGGACTATGCTATGCTGCTACACTAGATAATAGTAAATATATATGTATGTATGTTTTTATATATATATATATATATATATTACATAAGTATGCAATTGTAATTTATTAATCTCTTTAAAATATGTATAAATGCACATCGTGTTCTTAAAGTTAAACCTATTCTCATAGGAGTGACCTCACTCTAAGACTCTGACACCCTTAAAGGTGAAATTTTTGCCTAGGTTAGGTATTATCATATACAAGTTCAAGTAGAAATTATATATGGTTCTCATTTTTCAACAGATATGGGGTCCCAATCCATCCCAATAGTGTATGTTGCGTGTTTGAAAGATTATTGAAGTGAAGGAATTATAAGGATGCCTCGTTTCCCTATCCTCCATTTCCTTCAATTACTTTTCTTTTACAACAAAAAATTAAATGACGTTCTAACATTTTTCATTTTGAAAGGGACAACTTTGCATTTACCACTTTGTTTTCTTCAATTAATTTTCTAAATACTTCCCTTTCTTTCTTGCATTCACATGATGGTGGGGGGGGGGGAGCTGTCTTTGTTCTTTCTTTTGATTTGATACATTGTAAAGAAAAGGAAAAAGGGAAAAGAGGATGAAGAAAAAAGAAACAAATCTTTCAAGGCACAGAGAGAGATAGAGAGAGAGGGAGGCTCTTCTAGGGCTGGGGCTATATAGGATAAGGCTTCTCTATGCAATGTCGCAAAGGCAAAATGAGAATCAATCACTAATACTATTAGCTACTGTTGGTGCATTTGTTCAGTTAACGTACCATATGGTTACTTGGTGGGTCTCCAATCCACGCTTGATTCTCCATTTTAATGGCTTTCCTTCCGTTTCCATAAAGAATTTGAGGTGCTTTTGTTTTCTTTTTCATTTTTTTTTTACATCACTCGGCAATTGATGGATCAAGAACCTGTGACTTGGCCCCAAATACAATGGTTCACAGGTCCCCACTGCAGCACCTTTAAATAAATGATTGTACTAGACAAGTATATATATATATATATATGTATATTATGATAATACTCGTCCTAATGATTGTTGGACACTGATAAAAGGCAGACAAAGCACCAAAAGTTGTTGGCCGAATTCAGTTTGCATTGCTATTTTATTTATTTACTTAATTTGCATGAGGCATGAGAAATTGAGCAGAGCTGCAGTGAAGGGTACTCTTTGCGCTTCAGCTTAAGACTGTCCCTATTCTATTCTGCAGAATGCAGTGTACAAAATATTATTGTTATTTTTAATTTGGTTCACTCACAGCGAGTGCTGTGCTTCTTTTTTAAAGTCACAAACAAAACAAACCAAAACTCTTCTTTCATTTGCAACTCTTCCCTTAGGTCAAAATACCAAGAACAAGAATGAAAAACCTAATATATCTTTTACCTTTTTACCCTATATTAACCTTTATCTAATTTATGTATCATCTATACATAACTGTTTCATATTTGAGCTTTCACAATTTATAGAAATAAAAAGGATAAAATATTAAATAAACCCTTATCATTTAATTTATATTTAATTAAAATTTTATTTCAAATGAAAGATTAATTTATTTTAAAAAATTATTTAAATATAAATTAAATATTAAGAACTTCTTAAAATATAAATTAAAACTTAAGAATTTATTTAAATATAAATTAAATATTATTTATTTATTTATGTATAATTAAAATATAAAAATTTATCTAAATAAGATTATAAAATTTAAAACTTTGTTTATGTTATTTTAGCCACATGAAAAGCAATAGCTTTCGTGTAGCCAAAAAAAACCCATAAAATTTTGTTAGCCATCACTTTGGCTTTGACAAGTTTGCTATTATATAAATAAATCCTAAAATTCTAGATTTAGATGTGAACAGGTATAAGAGAACTCTAAAAGCATGTTGAAATCTACATGTCAATATTTTGGCTCAAAACTAAAGTCATCCAAAAAATAAATTTCCATCAGGTTCAAAGAAAAAAAAAAAGAAGAAAAATATATTTATAGTGAAACAACAACATTTAAGGAAGGTCACAACAGAATTAAAATAAAGAAAGTCCACTGATAGAATGGTCTCAATCAATTTGTCTACTTAATCCCAGTTGCATTGGATGTGTAATGCGTTTTTTATTTATTTTTTTACCACTCGGCACTCGCTTTGCTCCTTTCTTTTACTATATTATTATTATTATTACTATCAGTAGTTGTTGTATCTATAATCATCAGAGTTTGTTCAGACTTCAGAGCCAAGGCCAAGTCAATCAGCCACCAGCCACCAGCCACCAGCCACCAGCCACGTCAGGGCAGCCCCTCAGCCTCAGGGTCACTGGGTGCTACTCAGGTGAAAAATGAAACTTACCGGGGATGTCCTATGGAGAATCCAAACGTGTAAGAAGTAGCATGTTACTGCCAACATTTTAGTGTATTTGTTTTCTTACAGTGTTGAGTTGGGACATGAGACTCAAGTTGACAGCGAGACACACGGGTGTGGGGCTTAGATTCCTAATATAATAATATTATACTGCTTTTAATAAACAGAAAGTGTTGTCTGAAATAGCTTTAGATCATCACACATACTCCCTCCTAACCCTTTCCTAAATTTCCTCTAACTTCTCTTCACTTTTGTTTCCAGCGGAGCACTGCCTCTTTCCCTGTCTTCCACTTCCATATTCTTTCCCCTTCACACTTGTCTTTCTCGGGGTTTCACCTTTCCTAACATTTCTGGCCAAGTTTCTTTTTTTCTGTTCCTTTTCCCTTTTTTCCCTCATGAATTTGATGTTTCATGAGGCTGCTCGTTGTGGAACTTGTTATGACTTTTGGTGATCAACTCCATTTCAGCAACTTTCTAGAATTGAAATAAAGAGATGATTTTGTTATGGATTTTGAGGTGATTTCTGGGTGATTATAAGACTTTGGACACGTGGGCAGCCCTTATTTGATGTCTTAGGTGCACTGTTTTTGGAGTATTGGCGGTGCAAGGCGGGTAAATATGAAAATTATTTCAGGTTTAATCTCTTTGGACGTTTCTGCTGCTAATTTTTGGTAGCTTAAAGTTTTCTCTTTTTTTAATTGTAGTGGAATTTTGTTTAATTTCTGTAAATGTGTTTAATTCAACTGGAATCTTGCAACTTACATTTTTGGGAATTTTTGAGTTGATGAATGGAGGCTAAATTTGGAGGCAAGCCTCATCAATTTTATGGTCCAATGGTATCTGATTTGAAAGCAGTTGAAAAAAATAGTGTAGAATGGGATTTGAATAACTGGAAATGGGACGGTGACCTTTTTACAGCGACTCCATTAAATTCTGTGCCATCAGATTGTAGGAGTAGGCAATTGTGTGCTGTTGAACCTGAGGCTCCGGTAACTGCTGGTCCTCCACATGGTTCATCTTCTTGTTCAGAACATAACAATCTAGGCTATGAGAAAGGAAAGAGGGAATCGCAGAAAAGGAGGATTGAGGTTGTTGATGATGATGAGGTAAATCGTGATGCTGCTGCCCTTAATTTAACGCTTGGAGGGCAAGTTTACCCTATCATGAATGACGAAGCAAAGTGTGGGAAGAAGCCTAAGGTTACTGGAACTACTTCTAGTCATGCAGTTTGTCAGGTGGAGGACTGTAGGACTGATCTTAGCAATGCCAAAGATTATCATCGACGGCATAGAGTTTGTGATATGCATTCTAAGGCCAGTAAAGCACTGGTGGGAAATGTTATGCAGCGGTTCTGTCAACAGTGTAGCAGGTAGGTTATATTCTATTACTAGAGCATAGATATGATCCTGATCCTGGCCATTAGATCGATTGCTTTCTGAGTGCATTTTGCATGTTATCATTTCTAATTTCTTGTTTACGTATGGGTTTTAGTTTGTATGCTTTTTTAATTGTAGACTATGTTGCAGAAAATTCTTTGTTCTCCATTTAGATGCAACTTGCTTATACTTATGGGCAGGTTTCATGTTCTTCAAGAGTTTGATGACGGGAAGAGGAGCTGTCGACGACGTTTGGCTGGCCATAACAGACGTAGGAGGAAGACAAATCCTGATAATGAAAGGAGTAGTAGTTATTTGTTAATAAGTCTTCTGAGGATTCTCTCTAATATGCATTGTAAGCATCTGCTCTAGCCCAAAATTAATTATTTTGCCGCTTAACTTGGACAGTGGTATCAGTTGGTTGCATAGAAGACCTACTGAAAGCTATGGATAAGATTAACACTGCTTGGATTTTCTGTTTTATGAAAATTGCCTTTATTTACCTTGTCTATAAGTCAATGAAATTAGTACCTACTTTACATTTTGTGACAGAAAAATAGATGGATTTACACTTTGCTTGTTGGTTAACATGCTCTTCATCCTAGACAAAATGTTAGAATTTTGTGCGGAACCACATAAAGCACGATTTTTTAAGCTTAGGGCTTATATGACCTGTCCAAACTAATAGCTTCATTTAGACTTACAATGTTGGTCTTGTTCTTGGAGTCTGTTATGAATTTTAGTGACTTACAAGTGAATAAGTTCTTGCAAGTTAGCTCTATTAGTTAGATTATTGGAGGGTAGTAGTTGACAGGAAATAAAGATAAAGGAAAAGCAAACAAGGTGCTTATGGGTTAAAGATAATTATTATATTTTGATAAATTAAATTGTAAAAATGAAAACTTTGAGGTAGTAATAGTAAATTTGAAAAGTTAGGACTGAATATGATTTCCAAATGAAATTGTGAAAATGAAATCTTATAGGTAGTAATGGTAAATATGAAAACTGGGGACTGGATATAAATTCCAAGTAGCAGAGTCTATGCCACATGATAATTCTAAAAACTGTTTCTGCTGTGTTCTCATCATGGTTGGTTATTCTTCAGGAGATTTTGTGGCAGATTGCTGGTTCAAAACTTATTTTCAGGTATAGTTCATGATTGGAGGAATTATGGGCCATGGGGTCTTGTAGTGCTAATGCCATGTAAAGTCCAACTCCAATCACCGCATTGATAAAACTGTGGGAGTTATCGATAGAAGTTGTTATGATCTAGGTTAAAATATTTTTGGAAGTCTCCAGCTATGGTTATACTTTGATAACTCTGAATTTATCAAGGAATTTGGAGCCGTGAGGTTCATATTAAGCTTGAAGGAGATTGGTGACTTTGCAGATACTAATGCTTCTTACTAAAGGATGGGAGGGTTTCCACACATATTGCACTTATGGTTTTCAAGATATCTCAATGTGCATGCTTTCCTACCCAATAGATCACATGGAAGTTTACAAGAAAGGTTTATTGACTGAAATAGATTGTTACATCTGATGTTGATGACAGATTTTCTGGTCTGTCCTTGATCAATAGCAAGTTGATTCATTGGTCTGTCTCAATTTTTGCTTATGTAAGAGTGCCACTGAGCACTGGCTCCTGGCAGATGCTATTTTTTAATTTTGAGCTCATTAGTATTACTGGTTTTAGGATACCTGGAGTATGGAACTGCTTATGTAAATGTTTAACTTCCACTTGCAATCTTTACAGAATAGTTCATACTTGTAAAGTCATTTTGATATGCTTTTAGTTTATTTGTGATATGTTTTTCCTCACTGTCTCGCCAACTTCATTCTTCTTTCTCCTTCCATGACTTGAAGATATCTTGGCTTTTTGTAAAATTGCAGCTAACAACTCTGATCAAACTAAGGATCAAGATCTGCTTTCTCAACTGTTGAGGAGCCTGGCGAGTCTAACTGGTTCAACTATTGGAAGAAACATATCTGGATTACCACAAGGTTCTCAAGGTGTAGTGAATGCTGGGGCATCTCTTGGGAATCTTGAAAAGGTGACTGATGTGGTTTCTAATGGTACTGAACGTGCTACGCCTTCTGGTTCAGCCTCTAAAATAGATGGCTGTGCTAATGTCCCAGATAGGCAGGGGCCTATGGGTCATTGTGGGACTCTACCTGCTTCCGATTTGGCACAGAAAAGAGCTAATGATGATGTTCAGGATGGAAGTTTGTCTGATTCACCATCCAAAATACTGATTCCATCAGGAGCCAGCTTTCCATTCAGAGCAAATGAACCAGAGGCAACAGTCGGGAGGATCAGAATGAATAACATAGACTTGAATAATGTTTATAATGATTCACAGGACTATGTGGATAACTTAGAAAGAGCTCTGGTCCTTAAAAACCCTGTAAATGGGTCTTTGCATAGCTCTGTGTGTTTGTCAGAATCACACAAGTCAAGTCCACATCAACAGAGTGGGAACTCAGATTCAACCTCTGGCCAATCACCATGTACTTCTAGTGGAGAGGCTCAGGTGCATGATCACCACTTCTCTTTTTTGGTGAAATCAACATTCCTTGTGTTTTAAAGTGCTTTGTCACCTTTTGACTATATTTTAGGATAGAGAGACAACAATTGCTTGTTGACTTATTGTCATCTAGAATATGTTACCATCACTGTGTTCAATTCAATATTTTGGATCAAAAGAATATTTACCATTGACAAAAGGCTTAACTTATATTTTTCCATTTTTGTATCTCTTTCTCTCTAAGCATATTATGATAGAGATAGACACTCGTACATAAACAAGCAACACATACGCATATGCCATGCATCTGTGTTTCATTTATTTATCTGTTTTGAGGCAATTATTTTTATATAAATTGTTTGGAAAGGCTGTTGGACTGTCTCATTCTCCATATTTTGTTCTATGATTTCTGTATTGTTAAGTATGGGGTTGAAATTTTTCTATGATTGAGAGAACTTAATGCAGTGAAAATATGCAACTTTTACCGGAACACTTTTTATTGAGATTAAGCACAATTATATAAAGTTGTTTTATATTGATGTTAAAGCATTTTCTGACTTGACTACTATTTTCTTACCAATGTTCAGAGTTGCACTAATCGCATTGTTTTTAAGCTCTTTGGAAAGGACCCAAATAATTTTCCTATTGCTCTGCGTAGACAGGTAATTTGAAGAATTGTGTAGGTTCAGAATCTATTTGATAATTTCATGGAGTTGGTTGTAAAAATCATTGAACTTTCAGATCCTTGACTGGCTATCCCACAGCCCTACGGACATCGAAAGCTACATAAGACCTGGCTGTATAATATTAACAATATACCTTCGGTTAGGGGAGTCTGCATGGGAAGAGGTATGCTTGGTCACAGATGGTAAAATGGGAATTGAATCTATTATTAAGGAAAAGCCTTTCTGATCCTCTTAAAAACTGTTTTACATACAGCTATTCTGTGATCTGGGTTCCAGTTTGAGAAGGCTAGTTGATATGTCCAACGATTCTTTCTGGAAAACAGGATGGGTGTATGCTAGGGTTCAGCACTCTGTTGCATTTATTTATAATGGTTCTGCTCTCTCTCTCTCTCTCTCTCTCTCTCTCTCTCTCTCTCTCTCTCTCTCTCTCTGTGTGCTTATGTTTTTGTATGTGCTATCCGTCTGTGTGAACTTGAAAGAGTTTCTTAGTCAAAGTTTCTCCTTTTCATTTTAATTACCAAGTACCAACAAATATAGTATTTTGTAGTGACATTGCCAAAAGAAAAGCATATGATTTTTTTCCATCTGTGCTGCAGGTAGGGTCCTATTGGACACCACTTTACCTCTAAAAAGTGACAAAAACTGCAGGATCTCAAGCATTAAACCGATTGCTGTGTCTGTAACAGAGGGAGCTCAATTTTTAGTTAAAGGCTTTAACCTTAATCAGTCAGGCACGAGGTATTTCTTCATTCTCTTTTCATCTGGCTATGCTTTCTTTTCATCCATTTTACTTTGTGAAATAGGATGTGAAGGATCTCAGATTTAATAAAAACTACCGTTCAAATAATTTTTTATGCTATTAGTTTGACTGAACAAGTACTAAATCCAGCTACCTCTGGTTCAGGTTACTCTGTGCAATCGAAGGAAAATATCTGGTGCAGGAAAGTTGTTGTAACTTGATGGAGGTTGTTGATCCGGTCAATGAACATGATGAACTCCAATACCTTAGCTTCCATTGTTCTATACCAAATGTTTCTGGGAGAGGATTTATTGAGGTGTTGTCATCGTTTCGTGTTTTCTGATAATGTTCTTTTTTTTTTTTTTTCTTTCACAGCAAAATTTGGTTAGATATAGTAAAATACTGAAGTATCTATGATGAAGGTCGTTTTTACAGGACTAATTCTTAATTTCCATCCCATTAAATGAAGGTGGCTATTCTTAATTATTCCTGTAATTAAGATCTGTGGAAACATAACGTCTCATTTTCTGTGAAATATTGTTATTAAATATTCATATCTTCTTGATCAAATACTGGCATATGCTTTAGAACTAGGGAATCAAGTCAGTGACTTGGTAAAGATCATTGAAAGAAGATGTGGAGACCCGCACCTAAACTGCGAGGTATTATCCACTTTGACCCGAAGATTTTGTCTCACAAAAGGAGTCTCGCAAGTTTGGGATTAAGTCTCTATCTATATATCATTCTTTATTCATATATTCTTCCAATGTGGAATTGGGGGTGTTACAATCTCTCCACCTTTAATGCTTGACGTCCCTGTCAAGCCGAGTCTATTCACAGACTCCCACGACCCCACTGTATAGCACTTAGTGACTCCCACAGCTCTCGACTAGTGACCGTTCTGATATCATTTGTGGAGACTTGCACCCAACCTGCGAGGTATTGTCTACTTTGACCCGAAGGTCTTACGGTTTTGTCCCACAAAAAATGTCTCGCAAGTTTGGGATTAAATCTTTACATATATATTATTACTTATCCACATATTCTTCAAATGTAGGATTGGGGGCGTTATAGAAGGTATCCACTAAGTGTTAGTTGAGACCCAATCTTGGATTTTTAAAAGAAAAGAAAAACACAAATGAAGAGAGAATTGCCACAAATTGTTTGTTTCATGCATGGATGGAATGTTTCTTCACATCCCATTCTAATACAAGGATTTTGGTCATCTGATTCTATCAGGTTGAAGGCCATGGACTCAGCAGTACCTTTTTTCCATTCATAGTTGCAGAGCAAGAAGTGTGTTCTGAGATCTGTACTCTGGAGGGTGTGATAGAGACAGCTGTACCTACTGTTGACATTAACAAAGATGTGGAGAAAATGGAAACCAAGAATCAAGCACTGGACTTTATACATGAAATGGGATGGCTTCTTCACAGAAATCACTTGAGTTGGAGACTGGGTCACTTGAACCCCAATTCATATCTCTTTCCTTTCAGGCGGTTCAAGTGGCTTATGGAATTCTCCATGGACCATGACTGGTGTGCCGTAGTGAAGAAACTTCTGGGCATTCTCTTTGATGGAACAATTGATTTGAGGGACCATAGTTCTATTGAGTTTGCTTTGTTGGATATGTGTCTGCTCCACAGAGCTGTCCAAAGAAACTGCAGGCCCATGGTAGAATTACTATTAAGATATGTCCCAGATAAAGTATTGGATAAGTCAGGATCTGAGAAGCCAAAAGTGGATGGAAACAACTATGGGTTCATGTTCAAGCCAAATGTTGCCGGGCCTGCTGGGTTGACTCCTCTTCACGTGGCAGCTAGTAGGGGAGGCTCTGAGAATGTGTTAGATGCATTAACTGAAGATCCTGGATCGGTATCTCCTCCTGTCTCTGTACTTTTAACATAATGCATTATGTTTTTGTCATTCAAAAGCATGCTATTGAGTTTAATTCATCATCCTTGTGTGCCCCTCTGCATTCTCTTTCTAGCTCACTGATTTGTGATCCTACTTGACTCCTGATGGCTCACTGAGCTTGAACTGCTCAAATGCTGATTGATATCTTTGGAGTCCCTCTCTCTTTCACACACACACACAGGCACTTAATTGGATTTTCTAACGACATATTTCTTGATTTTCTTGGAGGAAAGATTCAGCTATTTCTTGCATTTTGGTGTAAAATTGTCTTAATCACCCCCTTTGGGCTCCTCTTCTGCTGCTGATCTGGGTGTGTGCCTTGTCCAGGCAGCAATTGAAGCCTGGAGAAGTGCCCGGGACAGCACGGGTCTTACACCTAATGATTATGCATGCCTTCGAGGTCACTACTCCTACATCCACCTGGTTCAGAGAAAAATCAACAAAAAATCAGAATGTGGACATGTGGTGCTGGATATCCCCCGAACCATGTTAGACTCCAATTCCAAGCAGAAACTATCAGATGGGACCAGATTGGAAAAAGCAGCTAGTCTGGAGACGGAAAATATAAAGATGAAAACCAGGCGCCAGTGTTGCAAGGCATGTGAACAAAAGCTGGCTAATAGAAACAGCAGAACATCCCCGGTATATAGGCCAGCAATGCTCTCGATGGTGGCAATTGCTGCCGTCTGTGTGTGCATGGCTTTGCTCTTCAAAAGCTCTCCTGAAGTTCTTGACGTATCCCGACCATTCAGATGGGAACTGCTGAAGTATGGGTCTAGCTAAGGTAGTTATGATATCAGTTACCGGCTACAGGCTGGAACATGTTTGCAGTCTTTTCTTTTATTCTCAGAAACAAGGCTGAGTTGTATGGATATATCTATGTGGAAAATACACCATATAATTTACTTATGATAGTTCACTTCAAATATATATATATATACATACACACAAACACATACAAGACTAGGATTCCTGAAATATTGAGGAAGTTACGATGCTTGGGCTTCTTCCCAATGTGGCCGAGCAAGAGCTGGTGAAGGTGTCTTTTCAAGCTGCTATTTCCTAGAGCAAGTTTTTCTTTTTGTTTATTTATTTTTATTTTTATCCAGAAAGAAGCAAGTATGATGAAAAAAAAAAAAAAAAAGATTGGGCATTAAGGATGCTGGCAATCCTCTCGCAAGTGACGGTTGTAAATGTGCATTTTTCCCATTGTAACAAACACAAGGAAGTACTATTTTAAAGAATAAGACCTCGAGAAAATAGAAGTATAATTAAAGAAGCTCTTTCTTTTATGTTTAAAAAAATAGAAAAATAACGGCGTCCTGCAAAGATGTTTGCATGCTTTCATTTCTTTTCTTTTTTTTAAAGATTCTTTCTGTTCTTGGAAAAGAGATTTTTAACCGTACTAAAATTGTGTGGACAATGAACATCATCCTGAGTGGAGCAACGACCGAGATTTTGTGATTGGAATAGTGACCTTAGTGTTAGGAAATATCACAATACTTACGTGCAGCAATCACACACAAAATAACAAACTCAAATTAAGAATAAAAACACACAAATATATTTGGTTCGACTCAACTCAAAATGGCCTACTCCAAACCAAATCCACTATCAAATAAATCTTTATAATTATGAGACTTTTAAAATGAAAAAAGTCTCCTAAAACTTCTTACTCAAAACTTAACCCAAAACTCAATTACACCCTTTAATAACCTACTCACTTAGCTATTCTCTTGGTGTCTAACTCTCTGGGGTTATTAAACTAAAATCAAAACATCTTATTTATAAGGGTGAAACCTTTTATACCTTTACTAAACTTCCGATGTGAGATACAAGACAAACTCAAACTCACTTAACTTTCAATGTGAGATTCTGAGATTCAAGGCAAATCCTAACACTTAGAGCAGTGTACATGCAGTATAAGGACGGGAACATATTGCTTATAGACTGTCGGCAGTATGCCCTAATCCCAAGATGGGTGGACAACTGCGGATCAGTGTGCAGTCAACGTGCGAGCACCCTGGAGCTTGATAGCCAGTTGAGTGTTATCAATCGAAACTGTGTCACGGTCTTGAGGCTCGAAACCATGTATGTTACGGTTTTGGGGAGGAGTTACGAATTTTATATGGATTGTGTATTAAAATTAATTATAAGATATAAAGATTCACATTATTTTTAATTTATAATGTATTTTTTATAAGATAAAATCATAAAATTAAAAAGATCGAAACGAATAATATTTCATAAGTTAATGTGAATTGTGATAGTTAAGCTGATATGAGATACGAAAAAAACCATCATTGTATCCGTTGGAATAGAGAGGATGTCCCGATTAGGAGGAGCTATGAATTTTATATCACTTTCAAATGCTTTTTGTAGGATAAAATCATGAAGTCAAAAGAGTCAAAACAGACAATACCACATAAGTTGATGTACTAGAGCTGATCACAAGTTGGTGTATTAGAGTTGATCATGGGATATAAAAGTTCACATCACCTTTAAACTTTTTTTTGTGGGATAAAACTATGAGACCAAGGGAGCTAAATCGAATAATATCCCGTAAGTTCGTGTGAATCATGAACTGTGACAGTTAGGCTTATCTAAGACACAAAAGAGGCTATCTTTGTGTCTGTTGGAGTGGATGGGATGTTATGATCTTAGGGAGGAACCATGAATCCTACATCAATTGTATACTAGAGTTGATTATGGAATATAAAAGTTCACATCACCTTTAAACCCCTTTTGTGAAACAAAACTGTAAGATCAAGGTGGTCAAAGCAGACAATACCTTATCAGTTGATGTGAATCATGACAGTTAGGCTGATCTAAGAACTATAAGACCAAGGGGTCAAAGTGGATAATATCTCACAAATTGATGTGACTTGTGACAGTTAGATTGATCTGGGATACCAAAGAAGCCATCCCCATATCCTGAAGCCACGTAAGCTTGGAGCTTAAGTCTCAATCTATGACACGTGCACCTTCAAGTGAGTTGATGGAGCAACAAATAAATTGCTGATATTATATTGGCCAAAAGGTATGTTATTGGGGCCTGAATTTATTTAGCTGAAGAGGACTTTGGGATGGTTGCGAAGAAAAATGTCCCTATTTCAGACATGTTTACTGTTTTTGGTAGTAGAGTTGCGATTTCTCTTACCCTTTTTTATAGGAAGACGACTAGTGTTAGCTTTTCACCATTCCCTTGGCTAGCAAGTGGGTGGGGCTTGATTAGTTTAAAGTAAGCTACTCCTAAGCATATGTTGTGTCTAGGTAAGTGGATATTATCTAGTCATGAGTGTGACATGGTGTCTCTTCAGATCATGGTAAACTTGAGGATGATGTAGGCTAATGAAGCTTGTATCGCGCCTTTGCATTAAACCATGGGGTTTGATGGTAATGTTCGTTATACCCCCTCAGTTTCCTTTCATTGAGCTAGATCGATGTGTAACCAAAGATTATGAGATAGTGTTTGCATAGGGGTGATACCATTGAGTCTAAAGGATGAGCAAGCTAGCAGGCAGGCACGCTACTAGACTTTTGTGGCCATTTGGTGGAGGTGTGCTGCGGTTGGAGTAGCACACTTGAATTCTCCGAAGCAGGACAAGCATAATGTTGGATGTGCGGGCAGGCTAAAATGAAGTTAAGGGTTGAGGTCTTAATATATGAGTTTCGTGAGATGAGACGAGACTAGTGTGGCTTTGTGTTAGTTGCTGACCAGCATTTATATTGTGTCTTCGGGTTTGAGGCATGAGAGTTTGCGTATGATATGGACAATAATGGTGTTAAGTTTTTCCTTATATTAGAATGAGATAATATCATTATAATTGAGGTTATGCGTCCTTATAAGTAAGATCGATTGATACTTGAGACCTTAATGTTCGTGAATAAAGATGGATGCTGTATACGATTTTACAGAATTTGAAAATGTTATATGCGATTTTACAAAATTCGAGTTAAAAAAAACTCACGAGTATACAATTTAAAAAATAAAAAATGAGCTATTCATAAAAAAAGAGACTCAATAAAGAATAACTTCTAATTCTGAGTAATTTTAGTACAACACGAATGCATGATTTTGGTTTAAAGATCGAACGACCGGTGACACTTAACCTATACGGTAATAAAAGTCATATTGAAATGATGGAAAGATGGTATCCGTATTTTTGAAATTGAGCCAGAAACACACACTTTCAATATCTGAATGTATTAATTCAATTAAGCCGTCCTATATATATGGCTGAGTCAATGCAGATAAGGTTATAAAAAAAGGACTTGACAGGATACCTCTAGGCCGCTGGCTCAAATTTTGTTTGACGTCTGGCTCAAATGTAGAAGGGTCTTCATGTGTTGGAGAAAAAAAAAGAAAAGAATCAAACTAACTACAGTCCAAACGAAAAACAACCATATGGAAATCAACCTAGAAATTGATCAAATTAAGTATCCCAAGTTGGTAAAATTATACAGTCATGCTTCATGATTTCAATCCACATATCTTACCTTTCTACGGTTTTGTTCCAAGTCACCTCTTCTGAAAATTTAGTTTTCCTACGCAGTAGGCAAAAAGTAATGCAAAGGCAACTGGAAAAGCGGCGAGAACAACGACAACAAGGCCTAAGCGATCATGACGATAACCATAATAGTCTTCTAGGAAAGAATTAACAGTTTTGAGCTCCCCAAATATGGATACCTCTTTGTCCACGTCTCCATACTGTGAGCTCAGTACGCCATTTAGGGACCAAGATGTTGGGCAAATCCAATAGCACCAAATCCACCACTTGGGTATCTCCTGCATAATATAGTTGTTATCTTTCTTGTTCAAGGAGGATGAAATTGTACAATTGAATAGGCTAAAAGCAACATTATTATGTGAATAATACAGGAAGAGATGGAAGACAAAAAAGTTTACCGGTCCTGGCATAAGGAACCCTGAGAAAAGATTCAATATGGTGTAGACAGCAGTCGAGAATATGGAGGCTATCTCGATATTTGAGCTCAAGGAAACTATAAGCATCCCGAGGTATACGAAATATAGAAATGTGCAGAATGATGCATAAAAGTAACAAAGAACTTTGTATGCTGACCAATAATATCCTACTGCTGGATATGTAATGACAGTGTACAGAATTGCTTGCAATGCTACATAAGGTATTTCGATTGCCACCTGTAATGTTCAAAATGATTAACAATATCAATTATTCATAATCCATCAATACATTTAAGCACATGATTGGAGTAGTGACCTGTGCAAATGAATAAGCCCATTGAGAGTACATTCCAGCAAATTTTTCCCGGTATAAAACAGTGCGCTCAGTTGCTACATATGGTATAACTGTTGAACAATTGTTTGCTCCCAAGAATATGAAAGCAACGTATATTGATCCAAGTATGCTAATTAAATCCTGTTCAACGTTGCTTCAGAAAAACAACAAAAAAATTGTTAGTCGTTTATACCTGTCAAACTCGTACTATCATTTTCATTTTTCTCCTTTCATTGTATGCTTACATTTCTCTTGCTTTTTGCCAAAAGACTACCCCAAACAACAGGGATGAAACAAGCATAAATATGAAACGGGCCAGGTTGTATTCGGGACTTCTCCAATACGATAAGTGTTGTTTCCATAGGCAAGCCTTAAACTGTACCCAGCTACCTTGTGAAAAACGGGTGGGAAAGTGCAAGTCTCTTGAACCTGGCTGAGGTTCACTTAACTGTATCACCAATTCTAAGGTTTCCCTGTAAATGAATGAGAATAATAACGATTATAATTAATTTTGGGAAAATTCAACTTGCAAACTTACTATGATTTATGGACAGACAGAGTTACGAATCAACTCAACATGCATAGAAAAAATTGAGCAAACAGAAGAGCTCAGTACCAAGAACAGGATGATGATTCTTTGTTTAACCGCTTGAAATTTTTTTTTTCACTGACATAAAGTCCTTTCCACTGAATCCCAACAAATAATATAGTCATTTACTCACTTATACAGATGTGACTCCTTATAAATGCTGGCAAAATCTAGTTTGAGTTCTGCTTCCACTGATGCAGATGTAACTTCCAACATCCATGTAGCTGGATTATAATTATCTTTGATCTTTGGGACACCAGGAATCCCCTGTCAAATAACGCTTGTCTATGATGTCAGTAATTTTGAAAATATTGAAGTACATACCGAGGTGGCTATTGTATGTGCACACAATAGTGGCCTATATCATGTTATTTAGCATATTTCTTCAATTTTTCTAAGAAATTTGCTAACAACACAATTGGCTCATTGATGATAATACCCCAGACGCATGCCGATACAAAAGGTTACAGGCACTTTGTATTTTGAGACTTATAGCTGATATGATTGCATTGTTTTTTCTTGTTATCTACTAATTAATCCAATACCCTCATATTGTAAAAGATGCACATATAAACTTAATTATAACTCATATTAGTTGATTAATGTCTTTCTAATCATTGGAACATCCAAATTAAAGTTATCCATGATAGAGAAACATTCTCACTGATAAATAAAAAACTGATACTAATATACTATGAGAAGTTGAAAAAGAAGCAGGACCTCAAAGTATTCTATAAGTTTGCTTGAATGATGACCTAACTTCCCAGAATAAATAATCCTCCCTCCAGCTTTCATTAGAATCAACTGCAGGAACAGGAAGTCTCGTTTAGTGACCAAAAGATAGTGGCAACAAGAAAGAAAACAGGTGTAATTATTAGTTCTTTGTTCATATGAATCTTGACGAAGTGTTCTACTGTTAAGACTGAGATATGTGGTGCAACATGGAACTTGAAAGCCATAAGCATAAAAGTAGTGTTAAAGAATAAAGATACCCCGTTTCCAACTGCTTAAACATATAATTTAATTAGAAACAAAACAATTACTAGGTTATGGAAAAATGGGTGGCATTAATTTTTGTAACCAACCCTGTAGTTGGGAATTTTGAATTCTCTTGACAATCGCACCAACTTATTGTAGGTAACTACAGAAACTTGGAATGTGCTCCAACATTTGGTTTAACAGCTATTTGTGTAATACTTCAGCCCAAATAATAATTGGATTAGACTAATACTAAAACCTATCAGTTTATTAAGATATTATTTAGTGAAAAAAGAAAAAAGTCGAAATATTAGATGAAAGAAAGCCTACCTATCGTGAAACAAAAAAGAAATAGAGTTTTTCTTCTTCATTTTCCTTAAGGTTAGAGAATATGAAAAATCAAGTTGTAGATTCACAATAAAGGCTACAATTAAGTTAATCCCTTAAAGGTGAGTACATGCTCTCTTTTTATTTAAAAAGAAATATCAAGTTGATTGTTATTATTTGGAGTTGAAGTTTTGAGAGCAAAACCAAGAAAAATCATGAAATCTTTTATTAATCTTCATGATCTATTTGGATAAATTACTGGGCTTTGTTTATTTTATGTTCTTAAGATTTATTGATGATTATTGAATCGAGTTTGAAGGCTGAAAATAAGGATTTTAGTTTTTAAAGATTGAAGGAGAAATTCTATTTTTGGATGAGATATTGTGATCTGTAATAATGAATTAAAATAGAATTTTGTATTAATGGATAGATTATTGCTGTGATTATTATACATCATTGGAAAGCATATTGAATCTAGTTTCTAATAAAATAAACGAAAATCAAATCCGAATTTTCTATGAAAAGTTGTCTAATTTTAACTTAAAGATGTGCAGGTTATAAGACAGCAGTATCAGGGTTGAATTACGAAATTCTTTTTAATTTGTATACAAGGATTTATTGATTAAGCCATACATGTTTGAAAAGCTTATTGAGTCTACTTTTCAATGAAATAAGCGGAATTGAATTTGGAGTTTCCTGTGAATAAATATATAATTTTTATTAGAAGGTATATAGACTGTTTGGCAGCAGTATATGACGTAGATTTCAAAAATTGTTATAATTAATCTACTAGGAATTATGAGGTTTGCCATATATGGTTAGAAAGCTTATCAAGTCTAGTTTCTAACGCATTAAAGAGATCATAATTCTGATTTGGATGGATTGAGATATGACTGTTTTAATGAAAATAGGTCAGGCTTCTAGTATTAATTAGTTAAGTTAACCATTTGTGTAATTTAGTTGATTTTTGTATAAATTGTCTCAAAAAGAGTTGATTAAATTCTAATATGTTAAATGATCTTGAATAGGCCATTAATTATTTTGGGAGAAAAATTAAGTGGTGGAATCTAATGGAGGTAAGTAGAATCTCACACACTTTGCTTATTTTCGAATCTATGTATATATGTGCTTATAAATGAATGAATATTTTATTTTTTTATTTTTGATGTATGAAAATATGATCAAGTATATGATTATTTTGTGTTTCTCTATACTAATGATGGATCATGCTTATAAATAAAATGAGAAAATGATTTATGATTAAAGAATGATTTTGTGATGGCTACGTTTTTACATCCCTGAAAAATGGGATCATCGACACCAGAATTAGTTCTACGACCCTGACTAACGGGTAATAGTAGTTAGCAAAGACATGATCATACGACACTAGCTAACAGGTAATAATAGTTAGCATAAGGCCTGGCTAGCGGGTTATAATAATTAGCAATGATCATGTGGATGAAATTGTTGATACGACCAATGTCACGTGTTATAGCTGTGATCGTAGCTAATGATAAACCAATGATAATGATGATTTATGATAATAATGATTTATGATGATTTTTAATGATTGATCTATGATTTAGTTTGATTATGATATTTGAATGATAGCATTTTTGTAATGATTTATGAAGTGACATATTTTGACATTGATTTATGAATTTATGAAACATTTGACAAAACGATGATTTTGAAATGTTTTGATATTATGATTTGATGAATGTTTTGAATGATCTATATGATGTGTAAGAAAACGATGCTTGATCTGGTAAGGTGTGTGAGTTTATACTTACTGAGCTATGGTTTACTCATTTCCTTTTATTTTTTCTTTACAGATGATTAAGTGATAAGTTTGGTTAGTCTTGTGTGAAGCTAGAAGATGAAATGGAAAATATTATTTAGTCGTCGGAGAATATGTTGACCAATGAGATCTTACAAGATAGTTTTGTATTTTATATGATTTGTATTTAGATGTATAAAAATGTATTATCAATTAGATTAAAGACATGAATTTTACTTAATAGATTGTTTTATTAAAGAATTTTAGAATGTTTAAGAAAGAAAACTTCGTATTACTTTGAAATTTTCTTCAAAGTAACACGACCGTGTTACGTTTCATATCGAGGCGTGACAATTTGGCTCCCTCGAAGAATAAGCATGGTCTTATAACTAGCCAAAATAGTACTTTAAATATGGAAAGCTCAACATATCTTGCACTTATACGAGGAAGACCATAAATTCCTTACCTCATCAAATGCCTCAAACACATCAATGCTTGGTTGGTGGATGGTGCAAACTATTGTCCTTCCTGTGTCGGCTACATTCTTTACTGAACGCATCACAATAGAAGCTGCTCTGGCATCTAAGCCTGATGTGGGCTCATCCATGAATATTACTGATGGATTAGAAACAAGCTCCACTGCAATTGTTAGCCTTTTACGCTGTTCAGTAGACAAGCCACTTTGTCCAGGTATGCCAACTAAGGAATATTTTATATCATGAAGCTCGATAGTTTCAATGACTTCTTCTACAAATCTCTGCATCACAGATTAAGCATGGACAGCTGAGGATTCAGTGTAAATTTTTAATAAGACAGACTATTTCATTCCTATTTAATGGATTGTTTAATCTTATTTATCCAGTAATTTTTATCATAGAATAAGGAAAGGTATGCTTTGATCTGATCATTGCAAAAGAGCACTTTTTTGGTGGTTTTCATTATAATGAAATTTGTTTAGCGGATATTTTTTGTGAGAATTCCATACTCTTGTTTTTTTCAGATCAGTCTCTGGAGGCAACCGCAGCCATGCTGAAAAAATGACAGATTCTTCAACAGTAATCTGGGGAGAGTGTATGTCATTCTGCTCACAGTATCCTGATATCCTTGCAAACGTTTTCTGAACTTTGGGATACCCTCCTATTCTTATATCTCCTTCAATGGTTCCACCAGTTTTCCTTCCAGAAAGAACATCCATGAGAGTTGTTTTTCCAGCTCCACTGACTCCCATCAGAGCTGTAAGAATCCCAGGCCTAAATGCTCCTGTGATATCATGAAGTAGTTGAAGCTTCTTCTCAGACCCATGCTTTCTCATTTCCTGAGCAGAAGGAACAAATAATGAAGTCAGCTTCATTGATGTACAAACTCATTATAGATATTGTATACCATTGGTTTAACTTAATTACCATAGGCGTATCCACAAAATATCGCACATCCTTAAATGCTACAGTTAATGGCTGAAATGGGAGGGCCATCCTCTCTGTATCACCAATCATATCTTTGCATCATTATAAAAGCTTCTTGTTCATTATATTGAGAGTTCAACATTGAGCAACAACTTTTATCTTACTTGTTTCTGCTGTAGTTTGGGGAACAGCAGTTGACCCTGTGTCTACCCGTGTGGTAACCTTACAAGGTTCTCTTCTGTGAAGTTGAGAGAACTTCTCCTTTGATATTATAGTTCGAGATGTCTTTGGAGCTGCATCATCAAAAACTACGGGTAAATAAGCAGAGAAAATACTTCTTTTTAATGCAGATGATTGATTAAAATGAACTTACGTTTTAAGTAAGTTAAAGCTAGGATAAATCCAAATTCAAAAAGTATTGTGAACCCAAGCAATGCCCCAAATGATATCCAATAGAAGTAACCATCAAAATTCAATCCATGACTGGTTAGAACATCCGTCCCTACGCTTGTATTTCCCTCTGAGACCTACAAATGACACTGATCCCAAGTTATTAACCAAACAATACTACCTAACAAGGTATGAATAGTTTCTGCCATCGTGACTGCACCTTTTGCCAGCGTGGAGCAAGGAATTCATTCAGCGATATACCTATTTCCCCGTATGTCATGGGAAAAAGCCAGAATCCCCATCTCAACCAAGGTGGTAAAGCAGCTGTACATGAAAGAGCTCTGCTCATTAGTCTAGTTGCTGTGCTTTGTTTCGAGAAATATATGGATCAATTCCTATCCTTTCTGAAAAAGAAAGAGTATCTTGACTTACGTTGTGGAATAATGAAACCCCCAAAGATAAACATCAGTAGCAACACCAAAAAACCAACAGTTGTTGAAACAACCATTGTACGGCAAACTGAGGCAATGAAGCGACACATGGATGTTGATGCTTGATGCAGGGCAAATAGTAGAAGAAACTGGCAAAAAAACCTAAAAATCCATAGGATTTTACGTGAATCAGACTATAAGTAGAATGAAATGGAGACAGTCGACCATTATAACACAAAACTTACCTTTGTACTTCAGGACTATAGCCAATAACATAGTAAGTTATAGCTGTCCAAAGCACAGAATCAGCTAGTGAAAGAGGAATCTTTAGGATAGAGGCTGGGATAGAATAAGCCCATGGAGGATACATGTAGAATGCTCTTTGTTTGTAGACAATAGGCAGTCTAATGACTGTCCAGGTCAGCTCTGCAACGCCATTAGTCATGAGTCTGACAAGTGTATAGTACATAGAACCCATCAAATAGTTTGCACTTATCAAGTCCACTTTCATCTGAGTACGTATAAATACTGTCATTGTAATGAATGCAGTGATGACAATCTGTGTTTGAAGAGGATTGGAACATGTAAGTTGGAAGCAATTGGAAGAAGCTGCAGAAGCATCAGAGTAAGAAGTGTTGCTAATATATTCCAAGTACTAACCTGTGCTGTTTTGAAAACATAGACAAATGAATTACGTTTCATGAGAAGCATCTCTCTATCCATGCAAGCCTTGAATAACTGCCATTTACTCAAAGAGTATTTGGTGAATGATAAAGCCCTTTTTCGATCTTGTGTTTTGTCAAATGGCTTTAAGAGCTCCTCTTCTAATTTTTCTCCTAAATAAGTTTCTTTGAACATTTTACAGAATTGATCCACTGAAACATAATTGTAAGGAGTGTCAGCATCACGCCAGTATTGTGCTTGATCTTGCTTGGAGATCACCTGAAAATGATTTAAAAGTATAAAATGCCAAGCCATTTGCATTGAAGTAAACAAAGAGGAGGAAATAAGATTTTGCAGGCACACCTCCTGAAGGAAGTCTGCAACACCTTTTCTTTCAGGGCACTGGAAACCACAATCCTCGAAGAAGCGAAGCACATTGCTGCAAGGACCATGGTATACAATTTTTCCCTCTGCCATTAGTAGCACGTCATCAAATAAATTAAATGTTTCAGGTGCGGGCTGAAGAAGTGAAACCACTACTGTTGCATCGGTGATGTGCACCAATTGCTGAAGATAGGTAACAATCTGAAAGGTTGTAGAGCTATCCAATCCAGTTGATATTTCATCCATCAAAAGAGCTTTTGTTGGGCCTACAATCATCTCTCCTGTCAAGTAAAGCAGAAAAGGAAATTTGAATTGAGAGAATCCTTTCTGCATGGCATTTTCTGTTTTCCATTTCAACTGGCTGAAGCATAGGGTCCATACTTTATGGTAGTTAGCAATCATTACTTTCTGTATGTTTGGCCTCTATATATGCATAATTTGTAGTCAAAATAAATGTCTTTTCAGGCAAGTGTTTTTTTTTTCCCTTTACCTGTTGTTAACCTTTTTCTCTGACCACCTGATATGCCTCTTCGCATTGCATTACCCACAATGATATCCGCACAGATGTCCAGACCGAGGATCTATGAAGTCATAGTGCCTTAGTTTATGTTTCAGAGTATATAAAATCATCAACTGCACTTGAAAAAAAGTGATTACCTTTAAAACATAATCTGTTTGTAGATTTCTTCTCTGTCCTTCAACTGAAATTGCCTGTAAGTGTGACCAATTACTGTCAACTAAGTTGTAAAAAAGATTAGAAGTAGAGTTGTATGTTTTTATACTTACCTTCATGTAGGTATCAACATCTGGATCAGGGACGATGCCTGCTTCCTTTTCTCTTTTGATAACCTCCATCATTATATCTTTACAGCAATAAATGAATTTTGTATTTTCAATTGTTAGTGCACAATATCACAGTGATGGGTATTAGATGAAGAAAGAAACCTTACCTGCCCTGCTTCCAACACCCTGGCAGTGAGCTGAAAAGTCAATTGTTTCTCTCACAGTCATCTGAGGAATGTGAAGGTCATATTGGCTTATATAGGCTGAGGATTTCTGAGGAACAAACTCATTTAGACTGTAACCGTTATAGGAGATTCCACCTGTGGCCTGTAAAAAGGAATAACAATAGGATCATTATGAAGAACGCTAAAATGAGCTAGTCAAGGTACATGGACTTGTACTAAATTATTAATCAAATATAAATAAATAAAAAAAGCCCTTCAATCTGGACTCTGATGTTAATCAGCTAAATATTGGCATGATGCAACATATGACTGCTCATCTGATGCAAGTACTTGCTTTTGAAATACCAACCTTGAGGGATTGGTCTAGTTTTCCTGCTAGAGCCAGCAAAAATGTGGTCTTCCCACAGCCTGGAGGTCCAAGTAGAAGAGTAAGTCTGCATCCAAAGAAGAAAAACCTTTTATTCCTTTTATATACATAAAACTGATGGCTCAAACTTCTGATAGCTCTTCATAATGATTGGCTTCTTATTTGAACTTTGAAGAACTTTACCTAGGGGTAACAGGGATCAATTTAGATCTACTTTATGCAAATGCATAAGCTACTATATGAATATGACACATAATAGTCAGTTCAAATGAAAATCTTCTCCAAATCATGCTACCAACATTACCTTGACGGCTTGATTATGCCACTGACATCATTTAGAATGACCCTCTTGGCTTCTTGAGGCTTGATCCCTGTCATCTTCGTAAAAATCTGTTCAAATGCTATATCATATATCCACTAAATTGTCTGGACAAAAGTTTTAGCTGTTTGGTAGCATAAATATTTGAGTGTTCTTGATGAATCACTGAATATCTTACAAAATTCATTTCTTTAATTCAAAACATAATGTTTCATCAAGAAGATCATATATTTAGAAGTATGAGAGCAGAAAGAAAACTATGTACTTACTGATAATGAGCTCATAAGAGAGTTCCATAACGTTGGGAGAGGCTTCCCCTGAACTATCTCACACTCCGCTTCAATGGTCAGATTCTTGTATCGGACCTCAACAATCGGTAGTTTGACATCAACTCTGTAAAAATTTATTTTATCGGTTCAACACCGTACCACTCAGCTAGCAAATAGTTCAAGTTACAAAAGCATAAAATAATGAATGATTGATGGTTAAATATCACCTTGTTTGAACACCAGGTCGATCATTTTAAAAGAATTGAGTTAATGTTTTGGTCAATGATGATTGTATAGCAGCTGGTTTGTTACATGAGAACATAAATACCTGTCTATCCTTTCCCTTATTTTGTGCAGCAACCGGAGATTATCATTCTCAATGTGCTTAATAAGCTTCTCAATGAAAAGTTGCCTTTCAACAGCTCCAAGCTTTGAAACGTCAGTCACCCTCTTGGCTTCCGATGATTGTTTTCCACCATTTCCCTCTTCGTTTCCATGATTAATATCAAACAATGAAGTTCTAATTCGTTTTAATGTTGGAAGCCTCTCAATTCCAGCCCACTGCAATTGAACTTCTTCATCGACCTCCATTATGGAATCCGTACTCATAGCAAAACTTGAAACAGTCTTTAAATTCTTCCAATATTTGTTAGCTTCTGAACTTTATAAGCTTAACCTACCTACCCTACCACCTTAGAAATCTCCATCGTGTATCATCTCAGCTCTCTTCTAATTAAACTTTGATATGTAGTGAGTAGTGACAGTTTCTACTAAGGAAGATGGATCTTCAATATAAGAAAAAATCGAGCGGTCTTCCCACCCACTTGGACTTGGAAGAACATGCAAGGCTGTTTCCGTGGGCCACGCATATGAGCCAAAAGTAGAAAAAAAGTTTATTCTAGAAGCATTGCTACTTCTAATTAAGACATGAATATATATATATATATATATATACATATATATATTTCTTTTAAGATTTTGCTTAAATTTATTTTTTTGAAACAATTTTAAGGACGAAGTAGTGTATTCAGAATTTTACTTTAAGAGAATTCAAATAAACTATCTCATCATTTAAATGTTTAAATCCTTATTAAATAAATTAAATTGTTAATTATAATGAGGGGGTAAATTTTAATTAAAAGCTTTAGTAACTAGTAAGGCATTTAAAATCTTTCAAGCAATAGACTCCTAGCAATGCAAAGGCAGGAAGCCATGTTTTTCATTTCTTATGATTTATTAAGAAGAAAAACAAAAGTTTTTTTGTTTTTTCTCTTTTCTCTCCCTTTAAATGCTTGTCTATTTAATATCTATAATATAAAAGCATATATACCAGGAAAGTGTATCAAACTAAGCCTCAAAAAGCTAATACTTAGTGGATCGTAGTTCTCTTGTTTTGTCTGGCAAAAGCAGAGACAGTAGAAACAAAGGTTAACCCCATTGCATTGTTTTCACATCTATCATGATCAGGAAATGAAAACATACAGGTAAAGGTGGAAAAAAGATAGAAAAAAAAAGGAGAAAAAGAAGTCCTCTACTTTGTTTTAAATAATATTTTGACAAGTCAAAAATTCAGTTTACTTAGAATAATAAATAAATGGAGCCTATTTGAAGCTTTATCAAAATTGTTTGATCTTCAACGAAAGTGGGGACACCATAAGATTAATAGGAGTATCCAACAAATGGTCCTTTTTGAACAATAAAAAAGCTTTAAGTTGTGGTAGTTGTTGAACTGAAGGGACATTCCATTAGATAATATCTTCTGCTCAAGAAACATTATCATATTATAATTTTCTGTCTATAAAAATTTATCAGCTGCTCAAGCTACATATATCTTCTGTGGATTTATTCTAGAGTTATAAGTAAAAGATATATCTGTTCTTACCCAAAAAAAAAAAACAAGATATATCTGTTACAACTTCTTTCTTCAATAGGCTCTAATTGAAGATGGAATTCAATTGGCTTGGAAACAGATTAACTAGAAGAAGATAAGATGAAGTACCCTTTATAGGCTTTTATAGTGCAAGAATTAAATGTGTTGACTTTAAAATGTGAACATATCCTTTTTCTTTTCCTTAAGTTTCCATAATATTTCTCTATGGAGAAAGAAACAGTTCGGCTTATTTTTTATTTTGTGATGTATCTGGGCCAAACCGCCCACTCAAAGTATTGTTTTTTTTATTGCTCTTACTGCTAATCAGGCCACGATATATTTAATAATTGGACCTCTTTTTGGTCCTGATTGGCCTAAGCTATTCACACTGACAGGGCGTTTTTCCAATTTGATACAATTGAACAAAATGGGGTAAGAATCGTCCAAATTATTTGTTTTGGACGGAGTCAACCAAGCAGAAAAGATAATGTAAGTCTTTTCTCTGATGATGCGACTCATGCTCCTTGCCAACCTCACTAACTAGAAGCACAAATGATATTTTGCGATGCAACACAAACGATGCAAGCAGCGTACGTAACAGGCACAATATGCAGCAACAAACACCCAATCACAATATTATTCGTAATAGATGGGCTGGATGGCGATAATGGAGAGTTTACCTTCAATAACTCCGTGTTTCTCGCTTCTTAGGAAGCACCATAACCAGAAAAAAATCTCTTAAATTTTACTGTGATTGAAATTTACCTGTTTCCACTCTTTGTGTGTAAAAGCACAACATACGGATTTGTTCTTACATAATACTAGTGAGTAAATAAAAAAAAATTGATGTGCCTGGTAATTGGATGCTGCTGAAGTTAAATACTTGATGTTACTAATCATACAATATGATGCAAGCAACTGATTGGAAGTGAATATATATATATATATATATATATGCATGTAAAGTATGTTTAATGTAAGTCTTTAGATATTTATTGGTCGTAATACCAATTATTCATATATATATATATATATGAATAATTGGTATTACGACCAATAAATATCTAAAGACTTACATTAAACATACTTTACCAATTGACTGGCATGTCGTGTCTGTAGCATTAAGGAAAAAACTGCCTAATAAACTAGACAGATACAGGTCTAATAATTCAACTCATTATGTCTGTCGTAAGTGCCTTTCAATGCTTGCTTAGACTTGGTTCGGGTTTCATGAGGGCCGTATAAAAATCTTTGTGTAATTGCCCGTTTACTGGCCCAAAAATAGCCAGGACGTTTAAGTGCTGAAGTCCAAGTTTGAATTGCATGTCCATTTTTCTGAAATAAATAGCACTACATTGTGGGCCAAGTACAGGTAACAATGCATTCAAGCCACAGATTTAGGCTGGTTCAAAGTTGAACTTCCCAGCCCAGATCATCGACAGCACCCACTTAATTCACTAGAACAACTGGCAGCATTAATAATTGTCGCTGCTTCTACAATCCGTACAAGAGGAATATATGGGCCCATGGTCTTTTAAAATTCACTTTCAAGTGCTACCGACAATATGCTAAGCTTCACAACAAAACGCCCCGACTATTTCAAAATGCTACAACGAAGATAAGACAACAAACAATCTTGAGTTTCACTTGCAAGGCTAACAGGGTTGAACATTCCTGTAAATTGCAAATTCTGTGCTATTATGTGGAGGTTTGAACTTCCAACAAGTACAAAACGTTTTACAGCTCTGGCTATGGCTATCAATTAATTCACTTTTTATGTTATTCTCTTTGAAAAGCAATAACATACAACCGTGAGATTTCTAATTCCCATTGGTATTTCACTCATTATATCTCATATATATAAATAAATATAAATCTACTAAAATTTCAAGAGAACACATGAAAACAAACAAAAGTGAACGAAATTGTAAGCAAGAGCCCAATAAGCAGACTCGAATGGCAGAGAACACCAGCCAATAAATCAAGCGCGGAATTCATCTGAAGAAGGTCAAATTATGCCTGGACCTTGTCCCACTTGAGTGGCTTGACAACCTCCCAAGTGAAGTCTGGGTCATCCCGGCCAAAATGCCCATAGGCAGCAGTCTTCAAAAACCTGCCATTGCCCCCCCTCTTAAGATCAAGATTGATAGCAATCATTCCAGGTCTGAAATCAAAGTTCTCCTTCACAATCTTCAGAATTTCCTTGTCTGGGATCTTTCCAGTACCATATGTGTCCACAAATACAGATAAAGGCTCAGGCACACCAATGGCATATGATACCTGCACAATACACCTCCTAGCAAGTTCATTAGCAACAATGCTCTTTGCAGCCTGCCTGACAATGTAAGCACCGCTTCTATCCACCTTGGTAGGGTCCTTCCCAGAGAAAGCACCACCACCATGAGCGCCCCATCCTCCATAAGTGTCGATAATGATCTTGCGACCAGTGAGACCGGCATCGCCATGAGGACCTCCAATGACAAAACGGCCAGATGGGTTAAGGTGGAAAATGGTCTTCTCATCAAGGTACTTCTCAGGAATAACCGGCTTGATGACATGCTCCTTCAAATCAGCGGCAATCTCGTCATTAGTCACAGTCTCATCATGCTGAGTGGAGATGAGCACAGTGTGCACACGAACAGGCACCATGGCACCCTTATCGTTGTAATACTCAACCGTGACTTGAGTCTTGCCATCAGGCCTGAGCCAAGGGCAAGTTCCATTTTTGCGTACTTCAGTGAGGCGAGCACCAAGCTTGGTTGCCAAAACATGGCTCAGAGGCATCAATTCAGGAGTCTCGTCAGTGGCATAGCCAAACATATGGCCCTGATCACCAGCACCAATTTCCTCAGGGCGCTTAGTGAGATGGCCGTGAACACCTTGGGCAATATCAGGGCTTTGTTGCTCAATGTTAACTAGCACTTTGCAGTTGTCAGCATCGAGACCCACATCATCAGATGTGAAACCGATGCCACGGCAGGTGTCACGCACGATCTTCTCGTAGTCAACGTTGGCTTTGGTAGTGATCTCGCCAAAGACCATGACCATGTTGGTCTTGGTGCAGGTCTCACATGCTACCTTGCTTTCAGGGTCCTGTGCCAAGCAGGCATCGAGGACGGCGTCGGAGATCTGATCACAGAGCTTGTCAGGATGTCCCTCGTTCACAGACTCCGAGGTGAACAGGAAGGTCTCCATCACTTAATTTCTGCAAAACCAATTTGATATACTCTTTATTCAACTAAAAAAAATATATGCTAAATAATGTAACAAGAAATCTAATTTCCAAATTGAATGACTATATTCAAAACAAAAATAAAAACAGGCTACCAGATCTGTAACTCTAATGCATCAACTTCACAGCACTACTTACAGGCAGCATAGAGACACATGTGTAACAGAAAGAGTTAAAAAGCAAATCCGAAATAGCAAAGATGACTTAGTATTTCATAGGAAAAATATGAACTGGGAAGTGAATGACCCTCGTACACAATCAAATACAAATAGCATAACAAGTGAAGTGAAACAAAAGAGAAAGAAGAGAGTGGGTACCCTTGCTGCTGTAAGAGAAGGAATGGTAGGGATTTTGGTTATGCGGCCCTCGAAATTGAATGCAAGAGGAGAGAAGAAGAGTATTAGGCGAGTTCTAAACTTAGGGTAGAAAGAGAGTATATATAGGGCAATTTAAGAGAAGAGAAGGCAACTGCCCGGAAATAGATTCAATGGGGTGTGGTGGGTGAGATTTGAATCCGACGGTTATTGATAAACAAATGTGCTGAATGTGAGGCCGCGTATATCAAGCACGTGTCGGTGTGGTTTATCTATTTGGATTGTTGGAAAGGAGAAAGGAGGAGCAGCCGAGTCCGAGTCGGTTGGTGAGATTGATTATATTTTCTTTGGGAAATGCAAATCCCACCAGCTGTCTTAATTACTGCTGTATCAGAATTACCTGTCCCTGGACGTTTCTTATTACCATACCATTTCTGACCATTAACCCCACTTTCCATTCAAGGCCCTCTCACTACTCTCCTTTCTCATTTATTTTGACCTTTTTCTGTTGTATTTTGAGGTCATACGTAGTTGATTTTATGCACGAAAATATAATGTTATTTACATGAGATAATTAACTTAATAATTCTATTATATACGTGATGATAATGTTTTTTTGAATAAATTCGCAAAGTTTTATTTATCTTCTTTATTATTTCAGGCATTACCAACAAACATGCAATGCAATAGGTTTCATCCCCAAGAAACAAAGTTATAGGCAGTATTAGAAGCAAACATCTTCTGTATACTGTTGGACCAAAAATAAAATACTTGAAAGAACATGCAATTGCCTTTGGATTTTGGAGGTGGCCTGCGGATGATGGTTGGTGAGATAACGATGGGATGTTGCATCCTCAGTCCTCACCTCTTTGACGTTACCAACCTACCAACCAAAAACATAGTCAGATTCTAATACCTCCCTTCATCTTAAAGGGATTTTATAATCATCAAATCACTATCAATACCAAACTCACTAAACATGCTATGAATGGCATCTTTTATCATTGATAAGCATTATTTCTCCTTTTCCTGAGCTCATTTCCTAGCTTGGTAACAAACACTTGACTTCCAATCACACAACTTTCATCCAGGAGGTTAATTATCCGTTAGAAACATCATTAAACGTTCTAATTGGGATGAACTGATCAAATCACCATTGATGTTTTAATCTGTAAAAGCGCCTGCTGTATTTTTCCTTGGCATCTAGGCATTGCAATAAGAAAATTAATTTGAAAAATGTTGAGCATGGCATGATGATCATTGCTGAAATTTAGCTCTGACAATAAAAAATTGACATCCAAATTCGGGTCAAAACAGGGTTAAACTATCATTAAGCTCAGAAGTAAACTTAGACTCAACCACCCATACAAGCATGAGCAGAAAAGTAGCACTCCATCCCATAAAATTCGGGGAGAAAATCGAAGACAACCGTGCAATTGCAACTTTTATGTTTCTGCCATGAAGAAACAAAGCACATAACATAACAGAAAAGCTTACATCCACCGTCCGGGACTCGCAGCCAGACTCATTATATTTTGTTGGTTAAATTTCTAGATCAATAAAATGAGTTAAAAAGGATCCCGTAACAGATTCTACATTGCAGACTAGTACAATCTACTGGCTTGCTGCTACAATGCACATATGAATCACAGTTTTTAGCTATGAAGAACATAACGTTCGCCCTGCAGCTGGAGATTTCGACCTTGAGTAGCCCAGGGCAATTAGCTTCTCTACCAACTTCTTTTCAGCATTTTCCTGAAAAAACTCAGAAGAAAATGGGGAACAAAATGATGATATGAACACAAAGATCAACAATATATTATGTCAAAATGTCAATAGACTAGTGAAGTGAATTGAAAGAACATGCGTTGGCATAAAGAGAAAGAGGCAAAAAAAAAGGCAAAACCTCAAGCATGGGGCTATTTTTTGGGATATTGCAAGCCACAATTACATTGGGGCCAGTTTTAAGCACCGCAAAACAATCAATTTGCTTTGAATTCAACCCCGCTAATCATATATAGTAATAAAATGTTGGTAAAATTAAAGAAAATGATCCAATCGTCGAGCAATTCCAGAGACAGTGTTATCTGAAGCACCCCAAGTATGGAAGTCACGCTCACCGTATTACTCTGTTGATAGCCATAAATCTTGTTTTAGCTTTCAGCAACAAATCATAATGCTGATTAAAAGTAATGAATTAAAGAAAAACGAAACTTACAGGTCGTCTAGGAGCAGCAGCATACAAGTTTCCGAGTTTAGCAGAGTTACAGCCCATCCATGCGTATATCTATCAAATAAATAATTACTTGTAATCCCAAACTCATTAGTAGAAAAATAAAGAGGAATAGCATAACTGATTAGGAAGGCAAATGATCTGAAAGTGGAGGGGGTCACGTCATCCACGAGCTCTGTGAAGCTCGTCACTTGCACGTCGCCGAGGCCGATGTCGTCTTGCCCCACAGAAGCAACGCCTGCCGCTTCAGATTCCGACGCTTTACAAGAAGAAGAAGAAGAAGAAGACATCTTTCTCTTCCTTCACGTTTCCGTATACCGAATTAGCTCACTCACCGAGTCTAACTCTCAAAATTTTTTGGGTTTTCTACTTCTTGGCTGCTTTTGCTTCCTTTCTCTTCAGTCGATGATACCCAAAGACTAAAGCATTTTTCCCTTTTTGCCTCTTTCAACTCACGATTGGGCCTGGACAGCGGATTCCGAAAGCTCAAAGCCCTTTTTTACGGCTCTGCATTATTGGACTATAAAGGTTCAAAAGCTGAAGCCTAGTCATAGAAAAAAAAGGGTTCGAAGCCCGTATTAAGGGTCTTATTATTATTATTTATAATTAATGATAGGATCTCAGTCGTTTTCTCATGTCTATACTCTGTCTTCCTATGATTTTGGCCAACTTCCATATGTGGCATGTTGCCCACATGACTTATGGCTATGAGTTGGTTTAAGACATGAATGAGAGCTCTTAAGTTCTAACAGACAAAAGGAAATCAAGTGGATTAAAACAAATACACGAGTTCGAGATACATTGAACTTGATGTTGATGATAAACGTGGCCAATCCCAACAAAGCTCCAGGGTGTTCCAGACACAACCTGATCATTTCACCAACTCTGAAACTGCCAACATTTTGCAGCTCCAACTCCAAATCCAAGTACTATTTTCAACATCAAGTAGCTTAACAGACAGAGTTGCAGAAAGGATGACCTTGGGGACACCATCAACTCAAGCATACGGTAAGCCATGGTACTAGGACAACCGCTACGCCCACGAATCAGCTCCCTTTGATTGGTGCCAAAAATACCTTGCCTTAGCTCCCCTTATCCACCTTTATGTCCCCAACCGCCATCAACGCATTCTCGTTCTCGGCTGCGGCAACTCAGGTGCCAGCTCCTCAAAACCAATGCATACCCTTTACAGATCTCTCATTTTTATGTAACAAAAGTCCACATTTTGCTGTGTTTAATGAAGACATGGCGAACGATGGATACGAGGATGTTGTCAACGTCGATACATCCTCTATGGTCATCGAAGCTATGCAAACTAAGTACCCCAACCGTCAACAGCTAAAATGTATCCTTGTAGAATGGCTTTGTGTTGAAATTTTTTACAGTAAAATTAAAATACAAGGAAATGAAAAGTTTTTGACATGTTCTTCTTGTTATTTCTTAAATGAAATGAATTTGCAGATATTAAATTAGATGTACGAGACAAAGATTTAAATAACAGTCGGATAGCGGTGTAGCAGCCGCTATTTCACAGTCGCGTCATTATCCGTCATTGCTATTGGAGAAAAAACGAAAAAGAACTTGAATTTCATCTATAACGGACGAATCACAATCGCAAATTATGGTGTAATGGTGAATAGTAACAAATAGCGATCCACTATTGTTGCTATTCCTATTTTCATTAAAAAAAAATTCGCTTCAACGTTCTGGTGTAGGCAATTCGTTAATATTCACCGTTGGGAGGTGAGGTTTTTTTTTGACCTTTTGATGTGACTTCCAGTTCGAGAAATGATCGAGGCATTAAAATATGCACCTTGATCTTCTTGCTTATTGAATAGCCGGGTGAACGAACATCCACATGGCGGAGAGGAGTAGGGAAGAGCTTAGAATAAGAATAAGAAGATTACTATGAAGGCGCTGAAGATTCCATTGCTGTGGTCAATCAATGCTTAAAAGAATTTGCAACACACTGGCATCTAAGCCACAGAATGACGAGCTGCCTGTAGCATTTTCACACTAATGGGAAACAAAGTCGAGGATGCTAAATTTCTTCTGTTTAAAGACTTAAAATAAAAACAGCAAGAAAGAAAATAAACATCAATTTATAAATTCAGAAAAAAAAATTCACAAAACTTAAACTTTCAAAAGTATCAGTTCTCTCAAATTTAACTTCAATCAAAATCAAGTACATGTAATTTAAGGTAAGTAGTTAATTCAACACTCAAATTACCTTTTTTTTTTTTAAATTTTCAAATTTACTGTGATTTTGTGTGTTTGAGATTAAATTGGACTATGATACATTGGTAGAAAGAGGCAGGAGTTATTGGGACTTAAAATGAGAGACAAGAGATGAGAGTGAGACTTGAGGTTGACAGAAGTAAGCAGATAGCACACACCAAATAAAAAGAGAACTGAAAGATGGGGATGAGGATGACGGTTTGGAGAAAAAAATTATTGAATGTAAGGTGAAGAGATGAAAAGTTGTGTGGGTCTATACAATTTAGTCAAAAGGCAGAAGAAGTAGACTTGAGGCTATCATTGTTGAAAATTGCCCACAACATGGAGGCTGTCAAGTTTGATTTATTGTAAGTTCGTAAAAAATAATTCTCTTGACTCATAAATAATAATGCTCTTACTTAATTTATGAATATTTAATCACTTATTATATGATTCATGATAATATAGTTCAATAATAATTTGATGAGTACGATAATTAAATAATTAAATATATCATTCATTATGATTATTTATTTTTCACATGTTTATTTATCTCTTGTTATTTTTTAATTATCATATAAATAATTTTTTAAATATGAATATTTTACTATAAATATTTTTTTAAAATAAATAAAACACATGATATGATATAAATTACTTTAAAAATCATAAAATAAGAAGTTTTATGATTAATAATTAAAATTATTATATTTTATAGTAAGTTGAGCAAAATTAAAAAAATTTACGATCGCGATAGCCGTAATAACTACAAAAGTCTCCGTTATATCCGCAACTGTGACAAATGTGACACAACCGAAAACATGACCGCTACCGCAATTTAAATCCTTGGTACGAGATATTAGTCCATTTCAAGCTGGTTCCTTTGATGCAGTTATTCATAAAAGTTCCATTTGGTTTTGTGATTGCAAGTTTTTTTTTTTTAAGCTAATTTCAAAGTCTATTTAGATGCCTACAATCAAATGATATAGAATATTTCAAACATAGTGAAGCGTAGATATTTCTTTTGGTACATAATATAAAAGCTATCCCCAATTATCTCGTTACTCCAATTTATTATACATGTATGTGATGTCTTCAAAAAAAAATTTGAGGGTAAATTTGGGCATAGATTTACAGCTTTTTTCTTGTAAGATTAAAGCTTCTGCATAAAGAAGCTTCTGGATTTTATGATTTCAAAAGCTTCTCCACAAACGGTAATGAAAAAAAGAGAAGGAAAAGGGAACAACGAGAAAGAGGGGAAGGCGACACAAGAGAGAAGAAATCACCAACCAACGAAAGTTGCAACCGGGGTTGAAGAACTAAATAGAGAAGCAATGAGCAACGGAGAGGTAGAGGGAGGGAGAATGATAGATGAACGGTAACACCAACGATTTTTATTGAAGAAAAGTAATGGTTGAGAAAGAAAAAAAAAGAGAGAAGAAGCTAGGAAGGAGTAGTCGGTGGAAGCTTGAAAATTAGAGACTGTTAGAAGATGTCTCCTACCATTAGAATGTTGGTCTATTTGTTGGATCTGAATTTTTTTTTTTCATTTTCAAAACATTTGTAATAAGAAAAAAGGGAAAGAAGTGGAGATTGTGTCAATGATGGTGACAACAAAAGCATCAACTATTGTAGTGAGATGGTTTTAGTTTTGGTTTTGATTTGGTTTTTTCCACCTGCTTGAATTTTATTCTTTTTTTTAGTCTTGATTATATTTGGATTTGTTATTTTTTTAATTATATTTTGTCATTGATTTTCACTTTGGTTGTTGATATTATTTTAGGTGTAGCAAGGTTAAATTTGGATTTAAGTAATTTAGTAGCAGACTAACAATAATAGTTTAATAGTATTTTAATTGATTTTCTTTTATTAATAAAGCAAGCAACTTAAAAAAGTTAAGGCATTTATTAGAGTTACCAAAAGCTAAGACATGGTAGATTTTGTGGAAGGCAGATTTAGACGAAGATGGAAGCTTTGATGATCCAATTCAAGTTTGTAATGGTGTCTACCATGTTGCCACACCTATGGATTTTGAGTCTAATGATCTTGAGGTATTAATATCATATAGAAAGTTATTGGTATACTAGCTTGAATTATATGAAACTATTCTAAGCTGAGTTTTTTGGCCTTTAATTTCTAATCTAAAGTTGAAGGTTAACATGAATTGTTGCTTAAAGTCAAAAATTAAAGTAGACCACAATCAACTTTTATTTTGCTTTTTTTTTTTTTACATTATGAAAAAATTTAAAAGAAAAAACAGCACCTAATTTTAATGAATTAAGCTATTAGTTTATATAAGGATATATTAATAAAACATAAAATTAATTATTTTTTTTATTTTCAAAATGAAGTTATAAAACCAATAATTCATGGAGTGATAAGTATAATGAAAGCATGCGCTAAAGCCAAAACTGTTAGAAGTTTAGTGTTCACTCATTTGCTACAAAATGTTATAGAACACCAAAAGCCTTCTTAGGATGAAAGCCATGAATTTATCCAGACTAAGAGAATGACTGGTTGGGTTAATAAATGCTACTAGCTTTCAAAATTCCTAATGAAAACACAATCAAAAGGAAAAAATTGCCATAATCTAATTAATTTTCATAAAATTTGATAAGAAAAGGGGGTAGTGGTCAATTTATAGGGGTTGCCTTCAAGACGACAATGAACTCTTTGTGAAAATCCTAAAGCCTTTTGAAGATGTATTGAAGGAGTTTATTTTAAAAATTAAGATTATTACTACTTATTTCCCCCTTAGGTTTTTGCTATGAAAATAACAATCTCCTCTTGATTTAAGATTTCTTATTAAGAAGAAGCCTTGAGGGGGTATGCTTTTCTTTTTATCTACTCTGCTTTTTGTTGAAATTTCTGCATTTGTATATCAACTTATTCACTTAGCTATGCAATTTTCTTTAATGACAAACAAGTTACTAAAGTTTAATGACAAACAATATATCTATTTCTATTTTTACGAATATATTTGTTACTCTTTCTATTAAGAACTTGAAGGTGTTTTGAATAATGAGCTATGTTTACTAACCACTTCAACAATATTGTGTAAATTACTGAATCAGTAATGAAACTTCCCAAAATTTAGAATGTAAAAGCTGGTTGGATCAACTCCATGAAAAGCTAAAAAATCAAGGAATTAGTTTACGAGAGAGGTTATTTAATGATTTCTTTTCGTGAATGCATAAATGATATTCTTTTATAGGAAGAAAATGCACCGCATCACAATTTTTCCCTTTTAAATGGTCTTACTGAAAAAAGAAATTGGTCAATCAATTTACAATCATTCATGCATTCAAATTCCAGCACCCCTATTTTGAAATGAGTTTTAAAATTCTTTCATTACT